AGAGGAAAAATACAAAGTGTGGTGTTAAGCGTGACAGTTTAATCCTGGTTCTGCTCTTAGTTTTTGATGTGGCTTTCTGCAAATTATTTAAATTTTCTTGCTTTTCCAGCTTCTATTATGCTTTCTATTTCAAAGTCATACTAACAGACCACATCTGCTAATACATGCTTCATTTCTCATAGGCCCTGGGAATAGAAGTCTATAAAATTTCCTCTCTCTGATACCTGATGAAGACTAACTGCTCGTATATGACAACTCTTCATCTACAAAGTTTCTTATTCTTACAAAGGAATTTGTGTTCAAAACTTAACCTTAGCACTATAGCCTTTTATAGAATAGTTATAGTAAAAGGATACAGGAATTTTTTTTCTATATATATCTTATTATTCCTAAGGATGTTTATATCATTCCTTGCCCTGTCCACACCTTTTTCTAAACATGCCTCAGGAGACAGCATAGGGGTTCTCTTCTAAAAACTAAAACCACAATAAAACCAAGCCAAACTGAAGCACCTCCCAGGCAGCTTATTTTTTCTTATTTTAGGGTGGGGATGGTCCCTAGAGAGAGACCTCATTATGATCAAGGCACTTGGAATAAAGTTTAGGGATATTAAGTCTATAGTTAAAAAATAGTATCACCATCAAAAAAAAAAGACGTGAAACATTTTTTTGGGGTTTTGTAGCTTCAGATATAGAATTTAGTGATTCATCACTGCCATACAACACCACACAATGCTCATTATTTCAAGTGCCCTCCTTAATCCCCAACACCTACTTAACCCATTCCCCCTCCTAACTCTCCTAGGGCAATCCTCAATTTGTTTTCTAATGTTTTTTTTCTTTCTTCTTCTTTTTTTTTTTTTAAATGAAACTTTCAACTTCATAGTCTTTCCAACATAGAAGCTGGATTTCCTAGGAAATGACCATATCTGCTATAGAAACTCCTTAGGGTTGTGTTTTTCTGGGTTTTGAGATAGAAAGAGATTGTGAATATTGAGAGAGGGAGGCAGGGAGGGAAAAAAGGAAGAAGGGAGGAAGGGAGAGAGAGAGAAGAGAGTCAAAGTAGAAAAATTTCCAAATGCCCAGGGAAAGATGATTCATTAGAATGGAATTTTTAAAATTTTGTTTCTTAGCAGAAGATATCGCATACTTTTTTCATCTCCTGTCCTAGAGATAACCTTAGGAAGGATAATGTATTTATTCTTTACATGGATAGAATTATTATTAAATAATATTCTAATTCCTTAAATCTGTACCCTCACTTCACAGTAAGGTTTTACGATTATTCTTTTTGATTCTCTGGGCAGAAGATCAGCACTTCTCTTGCCCCAGTATTATACAAGGAAAAGCAGGTTTCTTAAGGGATAATTTGTTTTTTTTTCTTTTTTTTTAATAAATTAATTTTTATTGGTGTTCGATTTACCAACATACAGAATAACACCCAGTGCTCATCCCGTCAAGTGTCCCCCTCAGTGCCCGTCACCCATTCACCCCCACCTCCCCGCCCTCCTCCCCCTCCACCACCCCTAGTTCATTTCCCAGAGTTAGGAGTCTTTATGTTCTGTGTCCCTTTCTGATATTTCCCACACATTTCTTCTCCCTTCCCTTATATTCCCTTTCACTATTATTCATATTCCCAAATGAATGAGAACATACAATGTTTGTCCTTCTCCGATTGACTTACTTCACTCAGCATAATACCCTCCAGTTCCATCCACCTTGAAGCAAATGGTGGGTATTTGTCGTTTCTAATGGCTGAGGAATATTCCATTGTATACATAAACCACATCTTCTTTATCCATTCATCTTTCGATGGGCACCGAGGCTCCTTCCACAGTTTGGCTATTGTGGACATGGCTGCTAGAAACATCGGGGTACAGGTGTCCTGGCGTTTCATTGCATCTGAATCTTTGGGGTAAATCCCTAACAGTGCAATTGCTGGGTCGTAGGGCAGGTCTATTTTTAATTCTTTGAGGAACCTCCACACAGTTTTCCAGAGTGGCTGTACCAGTTCACATTCCCACCAACAGTGTAAGAGGGTTCCCTTTTCTCCGCATCCTCTCCAACATTTGTGGTTTCCTGCCTTGTTAATTTTCCCCATTCTCACTGGTGTGAGGTGGTATCTCATTGTGGTTTTGATTTGTATTTCCTTAAGGGATAATTTGGTTGATTTCTACAGCTGTTCTTTTTCTTTTTCCTCTTATTATTTATAATTTTGGGAAGGGAAATATCAATTATAAAAACGAACAATATTTTAAAAATAGTTTATGCCTGGGGCACCTGGGTGGCTCAGTTGGGTAAGTGCTCAACTCTTGGTTTCTGCTCAGGTCATGATCTCAGAGTCATGAAATCATGCCCGTTTCCAGCTCTGCTCAGCACAGAGTCTGCTAGAGATTTTTCTCTCCCCTCTGCCCTAAGGAGAGGATTTGTTCTCTCTTTCAAATAAATAAATAAATAAATAAATAAATAAATAAATAAATAAATAAATCAAATCTTAAAAAATAGTTTATGCCTTTCAGATGTGTAATAATATAAATAGGTTTGCGCAGGAGTAGATAGGCATATAACAGATATTTATATATAGGCAACACACTCATTCATTCAACATTAATTGAGCTTTTTTCATCTGATGTTCTAGGTGCTAGAATTGATATTCTTCTAGTGACTAAACAGACTATAATAATTAAGACAGCTATAAACCAAAAGAAATGAGTAAGATATATAATATATCTGATAGTAATAAGATATATGGAGAAAAATAAAGCCATCTTGGTGGTTGGTCCACATATGCATTTGTACTTCTGGAATCTAGAGCCATCCACCTACTTAAGTTTCTTGGGCTACACAGAACTCTCAGGAGACTGGGAATTTAGAGGGGATGTTCAGCTTAAGCTATATTCTTGTTCTTTTCTGTGCTTCTGATTTGAGATACTCTTAAGTATCCTAGAGAAAGCAACAGTTTCCAGGAAAATTTAGACCAAACCATATAGGTCAGCTAATTGAAGGGAGAAAGCAAATCTCTCCAATATCTGTTCATGGTTCAGAATCTCACACAAGTCAGTGAATAGAGACCAGTATGGTTAGATGAATTTAGTTGAGTCCCCCTTCTGCTGTCGGAAATACTGCTGAAAGATCAAAAGATTTTTTATAAAAATCAACAGTTTAGATAATCCTCTGTGCCTCTGTAAAAATTATATAATTTAAGTAATATTAACTTTTCACAATTTCATTCTTCATTCATATCCACATTCAAATATGTATTTGCCTCATGTGCCAGGCACTACTTTCAGTACTGGAAATATACTGGTGAACAAGACAGACAAGATCACTGTTTTCATGGAATGTACCTTCAAGGAGGGGGAGGATAGAGATGAAAAGAAACAAATGAAAGCCATGAAAATATTAATAATCTTATTTTTACAAAACATATGTAATGGCTTATATATTAGAAATGAACTCATGGAGCACTCCCAAGGATGGACATTTAAATGGAAAACTGAGTAGCAGAGTGTAACCTACCAACAACTGCTCTGAGGATTAATTAATTAATGCAGGGCAGAGGCAGAGCTAATGGAAAGGTACTAGGACTGGGACAAGCTTGTTTGTTTCAAGGATAAACAGAGGCCACTGTGTGTAGAGCATTTGAGTGAGGGGAGAATAGTTCAAAAAAAGGATGAAAGAACTAGGTAGGGTCCAGAAGAAAAAGACTCATAGAATTTTAAGTGCAAAAAAGCTATTTGAAGTTTTAAATTGAGAAATAATCAAATTTTAATTTTGTTAAAGAGAGAAATCTGAGTGTCCATGAAAAGTGGTTTGAATTTTATTCTGTCTTTAATGCAATCCATTGAAAGTTTTTAACGGTGATGATTATTAAGAGAAATTACGATTCAAATTTTAAAATTTATCAATCTCAATGTCTCCATGATTTTTCCTTATTTTCCTGCTGGATTGTAAATTCCAAAGTATAGTAATCACATTCTATGGAAACTACCTTTCCCACTTATCATTCCCCATTGGGAAATAATATGTAACACAAATCTCTATACCTAGAATACATTATGTAGAGGACTTTGCTAAAGAGGAGATGAATTTATATGTCTTTAATCTTTTTGTTTTAGAACATGACTTCAATTCCCAAGGAAGTAAAACGCAGGTCTTGGAGACATCAAAAAATTTTTTAGGGTGTTGCTCTCCTTTGTTTCATTTTAATCATAATGCTAGATGCAACAAGTACCTGAGAGGATGAGGGTGGAAGGATCTCCCTTTCCTGATTGTCATTTAGATTGACAGCTAAACTCACTAGGTGATGGGTTCACTGTTGACTCAGTAGAGCCTCCGCAATTAGCACAAGGCAAACTCGTGGGGGTGTGGCATTTATTATTTAACTTCAGAATTGAGATAGCTTAATTCCACCCTTGAGAAATTGATGATCATGTCTCTCTATAATCCATTTTTGCTGAGATATAAATCAAATGAATGAATAAAATCCTCACAAAAGAGGAACTTTCAACAAAGAAATGCCAAAAAAGGAAACAGTAAAATGATCATTTCTCTTTACTGACATGCAATTTTCTTACTGACAGCACATACGGAACTCATTGGGGAGGTGTTTTGCAAAACTAACAAGGAACTCATTTCATCTCTTTGATGATGTGAAAAATTGTTCCCCGTTCAGGGATTTCCATGTCTTTTATAACTTAAATTTTGACAAAAAGATGGTTATGCAAGCAACTTTATAAAGATAAGCGCAATGCATAACTTGATTCCATGTGAAGTAGAACTGAGGCTTGTGGGGCTCCGGCAATGGGCAGGGCTTGTGAGGGAATACGGCTGTGGAAGTGAGGATGGCCTTTTGATAGTGCTTCTGAGGCCAGAGGGAGTGTTATTTAGCCCCTGGTTGCTGTTGTTCTTTCCCAGAACCAGGTCTTCTGGCTTACTGGTGGCATAGATCCAAGAGAAAGAAAAAAAGTGAAATCTTGCCTTTTCCTTTGTTCCCTGCAGGGCACCGGTCTCCCTCTTCAGTCTGGCGTCCAGTGGCCCTGACCTTGCTGTCTTTGTCTTTGGTGCTGCTGATTGGCCTGTTAGCCCTGGGGCTTGTGTGTAAGTCTGCACTCTGACTTGGGGGAGAATTCTGGTTTTAAGGTGTATCTAGGATGAAGAATATTTGTTACGGATTTTTTTTAACTTTAATTCTGAAGCCTGTGAATAATTCAATGTACCTTATTCTAAAGCACTCATTGAAATGAGTAGTGAAAGAAGCATTAAAATACAGCAATCACTTGCCAGCTAGACTTTTACTTTGTGTTTGAGATAGGCAGGTTTTGTCTGTTTGTTTACATGTTGGTATTTAAAATCAGCAATTTTTTTGAGGAGGGCAGAGGGAAAGTCTATGGTGAGGGAGTGGCATGGCGTGTGGGAGAGAATCTTAAGCAAGTTCCATGCTAATCGCACTAGGGTCTCCATCTGAAGACTCTGAGATCCTGACCTAAGCTGAAATCAAGAGTCAGATGCTCAAAGGACTGAGACCCTAAAATCAGCAATTTTTATGAATGCATGATTTAGCCCTCTTTCATTCTACAAAAGAGTACAGGAAGTGGTTTTTGCTCTTAGTATGCATGACCCAGCAGCTCATACAAAGGGAAGAGATTTCATTTATATCTATTCCCTCAATATAAGAACAGATTAGGTCCTTAATTTCTACAGTATTTTTCCAAAAAGTCCAGGAAATAATAGAATCATTTTGCAAAATCTTGTGAAAACCAAACAAGGAAAAATGCATGTGAAAAAGTCTTTAAAGACAAGTTCAAAAACTAAAAAAAGGAAGTGGGTGGATTTGCCTCATGGCATTGACACTCTACAGTAATATTGCCTGAGCAGGTGAAAAAGGTGGCTTAAGGTAAAAGGTTACATTGAAGAGCAGGTCAAACATTTGTTTTCTCTAGGAAATGTTAGAACTTTTCCTTTGTTATTATAATTTTTTAATTAAAAAATATATTTCTTAGTGTTTCTACCATGGCCCCCCAATTTTTACTTCATTTTGATATAATTTGTTTTATAACCACCATGCTTATGGTACATAAAGCAACTATAAAGCAACTTTCATGAAGGATTTCTCAACTTAGATTTAGAAATCTGGAATTTAAACCTAAATGTTGAAATTTTCCAGTCAAGTGATATTAAGGAAATTGCTTGTTCTCACTGAGCCAAATTGGAAGCTATAAAACCATGGAAATGATGACTATTTTAATGAATGAATAACAATATATAGCACATTGTCAATAATATGTTAATAAATCAATGGATTTGTGGTTTTAGGTTAAGCAGCAGTTTAAGAGCATACACAAAATATTTATTGAGCAGTAAATATGGTTAAGGAATTTAGTCCTGAAGTTAGAAAGCATTACTATGATTCTACATATTCAGATAAAAAGACAGATGTAAAACATTAATTTGCCTGAGACAATGCAATTTACTATGTGCTACAGTTGAAACTTGAACACAGACAATATGAAATCTCAGAGTATGAGATCTTAAACAATATGAGGTTTTGTCTTCTCTATATGTGAAAAGTAGAAAGACAAATGAAGAAATCAGCTGTCCAGTCTGACTTGGTAACCTGGGTTAGTTTTTCAGATCTACCAGCTTTCCAATACTCAGCAAGACAGCATTTCTCACAAGGAAGAAAGATTGGGGAATCTCTCCCGACAGCTGCAATCCCTCCAAACCAAGAACAGGAAGCTTGCAGAAATCCTGCAGCGCGTGGCTGAAAAACTGTGTCGTGAACTCTATAACAAAACTGGAGGTGAGTCGTGTGTGATCACCTCTTTCTGCCCTCTGGCTAGCTGTCATTGTAGAGCTGACTTTCCCATCTGTGTGCCTGGGCATCACATGTCATTTAGTTAGTTGTCTGGCAAACTTCATGAAGAATTTGGACACTTAGGTCATCCCCAGTTATTGGAATTGTTTAGTTCGGATATGTCTGTGTTGTAATACATAAAAGGATTCTTCAAATTCAGACATTTTAAATAATAAAAACAACTAACTGCAAATAACCAAAATAACACCGCAAGTGAATAAAATACAGGGTTATTTCTCAATTTATCTTGGCACATAAAGACCTAACAGTAGTATACATTTCATAATGTGTTCATAAATCTTTTCCTCTTAAGAAGTTAATGAGCTCATAACTATAGTTCTCACATTTTAAGAATCATACAGGGATCAGGTTAAAAATGCTCCAGGGGGAGATGAACCATGCTTTGGTAACCACAGCTGGACAAGGCTGAAAGCATCACCTCATTCCTGTGCCTTTTCCTCCTGTCGGTTTTGGGTTTCATAATGTCTAACTCTACTCAAGTTAGCCTTTCTCTTCTGTTCTGGTCATCTTGCATGGATAGGAAGCAACATTCATTCTAAGTTGCCACTTTTTATTTTTCTTTCCAGGACTTTAAGTTAGGATAAAGTCTTCCTCTTCCACTTCCCACACTAACCAGACAGCCAGATTGTGTGGTTACCCAGTAAAATAACACCCACAGGCACACTTCCACTTCTCTAAGTGATTCTTTTCCACATGACTGGTGATCTCACTTGTTACAATTTTCTTTCTTTTCTTTTTTTTTTAATTTATTGAGGAATAATTGGCGCATGGAGTTGTACATATTTAAAGTGTACAACGCGATGATTTGATATACCCATGCATTATACAGTGATTATACACTGGATTGTTTTTAAGATATAGACATTTTTATGAAATGATTGAGTTCCCATCTGACCATAAGGGACTTGATTACAAGTCACAAATCTCAAAGGCCCAATGCTGTGTATCCTCATCAGTGTAAAGACCATGGCTCTCAGGGACTAGTTCCTATACTTACAGCCTCTATTCATGTAGTCTACCTCACCCTTCACCTCTGCACTTACTTCTCTGACTTTGGTGCCCATCTTAATTTCTGACACATGGAAATTTACCATTCTAATTCATACTTTACTTAGTATTTATGTCTTTTTTTCTCAAATTTTATTTACTTGTCTTTAGAATGAGAAAAGAGTCCATATCTTATTGGTATACATATACTGCATTTTAAAAATCTTTTGCAATTATATAAGAAGATTTTAATGAAGAAAATTGCGGAAGCTTCAATTGTTTTTTAAAGAAAAGACATAATGAGTTTTTGAACATATGAAAAGTTCTTTATGAAATTGAATATGCTCTGTGTGCTGAATTATATAGGGCAAGAAACAAGGAAGTTCCAATCATTCATTGCTAGATTCCAAATTCCGTGAAAGCTGTAGTGTCTGCTTTAACTTTCATCATATACTCAGTACCAATTACAGTTTCTGGCATATAGAGTGTTTAGTAGACATTTGTAGTTATCATTTGTGGGCAATTAAATATCTAAGAGAAAGGAAATTGATTCTTTTTTGCGTCATCAAGTATCATATAATTTCAGGATAGGAAAGATCGCACACCTGGATAGAAAATAACACTAAAATTGGTTTCTTTCCAAGAAAACAGATGCAGCCCTTGTCCAGAAGAATGGAAGTGGCATGGGGACAAATGCTATCGGTTCTATAGAGAAAGCAAGAGTTGGCAAGGCTGTGAATATTTCTGCATTGCTGAGAACGCGACCATGCTGAAGATAAACACACAAGAAGTGCTGGTAATATGCTGATCAGTGTTTGAATTTTTCTCAGAAAGAGATTCTTAAAAGACCTGTACAAAAGAGTCAAAGGAGTCAATGTCCCTAGACTTTTGTACTTACTGCAATCAAGACCTAAGCCTTATTCTTATTGTTTTGAGTGATTCCCTGAGGTACGTAAAAGGAGTTCTCCTCACTACAAAAGGCTTTCTCCTCTCCATACCTTAGAAACATGAGAGGAAACTCTCCAAAATCCCCATCACTCAGAAATGAAAAAAAAAAATTCGCTAATTTCTTACCTCTTTTAGTTTGGGAAAGAAGGGCCCAATACTGAGGTAATGTCAGAAAGATGAAAATAACATTTCCTATTCTTCCATTATAAAAGGACAAGTTTTTAATTGAAAAAATTTAATTAGGGATCCCTGGGTGGCGCAGCAGTTTGGCGCCTGCCTTTGGCCCAGGGCACGATCCTGGAGACCCGGGATCGAATCCCATATTGGGCTCCCGGTGCATGGAGCCTGCTTCTCCCTCTGCCTGTGTCTCTGTCTGTCTGTCTGTCTGTCTGTCTCTCTCTCTCTCTCTCTCTCTGTGACTATCATAAATAAATAAATTTTAAAAAAATTAAAAAAAAGAAAAAATTTAATTAAATCATTACTATAACCTGCAAATAAACATATTGTCCTTCAGAAGTTTAAACCTAACATAGACTAGTCGAGGCAAATGTGAAAGTAAAATTATAAACTGGCATGTATTAAAGTATACGTAATTAAGGTAAACTTCTAAAATCATGTCATTGTTCCCACCCTTTTAAAAAATATTTATTATTCCTTTGAATTTAATCTCTTAAACAGTGTAACTGTTATTTATTTATCATTGTTTTAGCAGAAGTCTTGGCACAAAGTAGTTTATCAATAAGGGATTATTTAATCGAAGTAAATGCCCAACTCACTATGTAAATTCTTAACATCCTTCTAGTTACTCTTAATTCCTACACACTTTTCTGAAATCTGTGATGAATGCAACTCTGCAATATTTCTCATCTACTAAAATAACATTTTTTATACTTTCTTAATGGCTCAATTTAGGCAGAAAAGGAGGTAATTTATTTAAGACAATGTGTCCCTACCATAAGCCCACCTAGTTTTTCTTATTCTCTTTGTTTCCTCCACTTTCAGGGTAAAAGAGGACTCAGATATATAACTGAATTGTATTACATATAATGGTAGGACATATTGTGAAAGTTATACAGTGGTTTTGTCTCATGCATTTCAAAGATTTGTATATATTTAAGTAATTTTCATATGATTTATTTTAAAAAACTTTTAATTTGAAGTGTCTACCATACAATTGGAAATATTTTCAACTATACTTTTTTTTGATATACCTACTAGATGACTATTGCTTAGTGATAGTTTCATATCTATTTCCAATAATCTTTTATTGAACCATATGTCATATGTCATTATCTAAAGGGTTGAGGACATAAAACAAAGTATGTATCCTTAAGGAACCATAGTATAGTGGAAAGGAAGGACATTAAAATTGATAATTATAATAAATTTAAATAATTTCTATGTTAAAGGGTAAGGCTGGATAGAAGGAAGAAGGTAACTTAAAAAATATTCAATATAGAGGGGTGCTTGGATGGCTCAGTTTGTTAAGCATTCGACTCTTGATTTCAGCTCAGGTCATGATCTCAGTGTCATGAGATCAAGACCCAAGTCAGGCACACCCCTGAGCATGGAGTCTGCTTGCCCCTCTCCCTCTGTTGCTCCCCTCACATCAAATAAATAAATAAAATCTTTTAAAAAATTCAGGATAGATATATATGAGTATAAATGTATATATGAATACTATACAAAAATATAAATGCACACACACATATATATATGAAAAATTTCCCTTTCTCCCTTTCCTTTTCTGAGACATAAATCATCTTTCCAAATTTTCTCTTACCTCTTTTTACATTAAGGTATAATTCATTATTCTTTCCCCCTTTCTGGCCAGTCCCTTTTGCATATGTTTATAAAGAATACTTTCCCCATTTTTACCCTCTTCTTTCCATATTCTTCCATTCACCCCATGAGTAAATCTGCCCCCCATGTTTTTAATATAAATCTTAGTGTTTACTCTGTGACTTGAAAATAATGGGTTATTCTTATATTTTGATTGATATGATTTTGGTTTTAGAATATCAGTATATATTCCATACTTACAAGATAAATTCTTTAACTTGGACAAACTGACCTCCGCACACACACTTTTTCTCTCAAGTATACTATGACCTATATGGGGCAGGACTCATGTGTTGTTCTCAAAGTAAAAGTGCTGGCTGGCCCTACACATCTCTGTGTATATATAGTATAACATCTCTAAAGCTAAAGATCTTCTTGTGTGCCTTTCACAGGACTTTGCCATGCCTCAGAGCTACTCTGAGTTTTTCTACTCTTATTGGACAGGGCTATCCCGCAACGGCAGTGGCAAGGCCTGGCTGTGGATGGATGGAGCCCCTTACTCCTCTGAACTGTAAGCCTTCAGAACATTTGATGAGAAAGGCATTTAACAGAGAGCTTTCACTTGAGTGACTGAGTTCAGCAATTTGCTTCAATAAGCATTAATCAAACATCTGCTTTGTATTGGATACTGTGTTTATAAGAGGATGTACAAAGATGTATAAAAATAAAACACAGTGCTTGCTTTTGAATGGCTTGTGAACCAGTGAAGGAGACATACAAAATGTTAGTAAAATAGTAGGGGCAGTTCTCTGTCTGGGTGCTTTCAGAGTTTTTATTTCAGGGTCTGAAGTCCTTTAGAGCATTAGTAATTAAGTGTCTGGGCTCTGCTGAGGGAGGATGACAGAGACAGAGATAAAGAGAGAGAGAGAAGAAGAAGGAAGAGGAAGAGGAGGAGGAGAAAGATGAGGGAAGAGATATTTTATGGATGAATAAACTGAAACCTAGATCGGGATGGTAACTGACCTAAGACCACATAACTTCACAACTTATCAATACCCAGAGGTAATAGAAGATCTCAGATTTCGGGACACCTGGGTGGCTCAGTGGTTGAGCATCTGCTTTTGGCTCAGGGAGTGATCCCGGGGTCCTGGGATTGAGTTTAGCATCAGGCTTCCCACAGGGAGCCGGATTCTCCCTCTGCCTATGTCTCTGCCTCTCTCTGTGTGTCTCCCATGAATCAATAGATAAAATCTAAACACAAAAAACAAAAAACAAAAACAAACCTCAGATTTCTTGGCTTTCTGAGCAGTGTGATAGGGCACACATTTTTCAGAATATAGTTTCTGAGGGACACTGGGGTAGTGTAGTCAGTTAAGCATCCAACTTATGTGAGCGTTTACTTATCTGAGCATTAGATAAGATTGTGTGTGATATCTTTTCAAACAGCTAAATGTATACTTAAATATATTACAATTTGAAGCCATGTTTGGCCAGATACCTTTCTTCCCTATATATCATATGGGATTTATTATCCCAGCAGATGCGACATTCTTAATGTAATCCTTTTTATTTTATAGTTAATTAAACTGAATCACAGAGAAAGTAGATGACCTTTCAAATGATGGCAAAATCATATGATAAATTTATATTATAGCATGCATCTTAGTTTTAGTTAGAAACAATTTTTGTTGTTTTAGATGAGCTGATGCTTGCTTCTAGGGAGAAGTATGGACATTAAGGGGCTGAAAAGGAAGAGCGTGGTGACCCCCTCTCTCCAGTAAATTCATTCTGCATATCTATTCTATAATTTTATCAATCTAGGAGTACTCCCAATGTACTTTCTGGATATTTAACATTTCATTTTAGAAGTTACCAGTGATCTGATTAAACTTTCTTTTTTTTTCTTTAAGGTTTGAGATTATAATAGATTTTACCAGTCTGAGAAACAGGGACTGTGTGACCATCCTCAATGGAAAAGCTTTCTCAAAGGACTGCAAAGAGTTGAGGCGGTGTGCATGTGAAAGAAGGGCGGCCACAGTGAAGCCTGAGAGCCTCCATTAGTTTCCCTGCACCATTACATGGAAGTGATTGACTCTCCCATCATAATTACAATATCAAGCTCTCTTCAGGGAGATTGAAGATCAGAACAGAAGTTAGTCTATTTATGTGTACCTGTACTAGTTTGGTTTCAGTTCCTATCTTCTCTCATATGATCCATGTTTATACAAAAATTCAGCAAAAAGTTTGAGCCAAGCAAAGTCAATGCAAAGGATATTTAAGCCATTGGAAGATGGGAGAAAAATAGGAAAGGCAATTTTTCTGACTGGTGGAGGAAGGATTTTCATGTTTCTTGTTCAGGATCACCAGCATTTCTGAGCTTCATGCATATATTTACCAGTCACAGAGAAGTCCTATCTATGTACCAACCAGTCCCAGAATCTCATAAAGTTGTCATCACCTTCTTGACTCAGAGATAACTTTCTAGTGTTCTTCCTTCTTAGCATCTAATATCAGCTCCCTATTTCCATGTCTTCCTTCATATTGAAGGAAGTGAGAAACTTACTGAAATAGAGGAAATAAATGTGTGTGACATCCTTTGTCGCTCAGTCAGTTTAGCATCTGACTCTTGATTTCAGCTCAGGTCATGATCTTAGGGTCCTGGAATTGAGCCCTGCATTGAGCTTTCTGCTGAGTGGAGCCTGCTTAAGATTCTATTCTCTCCCCTCCCTCTATCCACCTTCCAACAACTCACAACCTCAATCTCTCTCTCTCTTTCTCTCAAAGAAACTCCAATGATTGTGTTCTTTCTCTAGGAATTTCTTCCAGAAAAGAAATATTCTCAGTTCAGTTCCATATCCAAATTACTGTCCTCGATGCTCCTTCAGAAAGACTGAAGATGAGAGCAAAAGTCAGTCTCTTCACGAAGGTCTATAATAATTAAGTTTCAGCTCCTATTCCATCTGATTCATGTTTATGCCTTCCAGGTACTAAAGATTTAATAATAATAATAAATGTAATAATGTGAAAAGTGTGTGATTTGAGAATAGATTCTGGGAAAATTTCTGTGTAGAGATGTTCTTCAAAAGGCAAGTTTGTCATCAGCACATACCGAAAGATGAGTAAATAAAATTTTAATAGGATGAGTTATCCAATCAGGTAATGGAAAGTGGAAGAGAGACTGTGATATCTGCCCACATCACTGGCTCCTTGTTATAGGTACCTCCTTTCTCAGGTGACCCATATGCACAGTCATCACAGGGGGCACTCACTGCAAATAACACCATCACAACCAGTGACTTTGCTGATTTATAGAGAAATCAATTTTAGGGGTTTAATGCTAGTGATGATAATCTACTATAAACCTTTATTTTTCAGCAATGAAAACTAGGGTGCTTCAATTTTATTTTCAGAAAACATCTATCACATGGTGAAATGACATTAAATTAGCAAACATGATAAAGAGAACATTTCTGTATTCATTTTCATAAGACTGCATTATGTAGCAATCACTGCTTGTGGATTTCTTCCTTATGAATTTTCCTTTCAATTTTTGGTTGATTAATTATGAAATCTCTTCAGTGTTGAACAAATTTTGTGTTGATTTATTGTGTCATGCAAAAAGAACTATATTTGTGGTCATAAAATGAGAGTTTTAGGTCCCATAATCTGATCTATTATTGGGCAAATCACTTTACTTCATTAAGCTTATTTCATTAAGTATAAAGTGGAAATGTTTATAATTTTCTCATGGTGCTATTATTAGTAGAAATGAAGTAAATATGAAATTAGTTTTATAATCCAAATTGAAATATATAATGTAAAAATATTAAAATACGTAAAATAAAGGATTTAGTAATTTTTTTTTAAATAGAGGAGCACACACGAACATAAATAACCCTTTTTGGAGACCTGTATTCTTCAGTTAATTATAGAAAGTCACTTACATTGGGAAGCTGTGGATATTGCCAAATATTTTCTATGGTGAGAGCAGATATTTAATGAATGCAGTTTATATAATAAGCATGTAACAAGAAAGGTGGATTAGGACTTCAGCTAAGAAATTAAGTGTAATTTAAGTCTTGTTACTACAGGAAGAAAATGTGGTTCACATAAGCAAAGTCAAATGACTTTGTGGACTAGGTTGTAAATAGGGACAAGGCACATGTGTTGACTCCTGGCATCCTACATAACTGCAGTCTAGTTCAGGTTTGGATGACAAGTGTCTCTTTAAATGCCATTGCTTTAAAGAGTCTAGGTGCCAGGAGAGTGGATGTTGTATAGTATTTAAAGGATTCCCACAAATCTGCCACCTGAGGAAGTGTCACTTTAGATAGTGAAGAGGAAAAAAATAGCATTTATTTGACATTTTTGCTATTCTTGACCTTATTTCTCTCCATCTTTACCCTCAATCCCATCATCTGTATAACAAAACTCACAACACTAATTACAATATGAGCAAATGTCTCAAAGTGCAGAAGAATAGTATGCCACATTTTCTCCACAAACTTTTTTAAATTTAAGAATAGGAAATAATCATGACGTGGTTTGCTGAGAACATTTTTCCGTGGAGAATCAGAGAGTAGTGTCCCATGAATTAAATTTTGGCTTGAGAAGAATTTTTCTCTTCCAGGCTCTTGTGTGTTTAGGTAATTCTGAAGAAATTTCAGGAAAAGTCAAATGAGGCTTTCCTGGTAGATCGGAGTGCTCTACGGTACACAGTGAGCTATTTCTTTTCCTGAGGATACTGAACCAGCTCTTAAAACTTATCAACAGGAAACAGGTCATGAGTTCTTTAATAGCAGGAAGAGTGTGAAGAATAAGGGGAGCTTTTTCTTTGGGGACAGAAGCAATTATGAAATAAGTGGAAGAGTCTAGCAGATTGCCTCAGTTTTGGCCTTAATATTGAGGGGGGGTCAAATATTTTGCAAAGGAATTCTTGTCCTTTTTGAAGAATACAAAAAAATCATAATCTGATTTAAAGCATACATTTTTACAAGGTTCATTGGATGAATAAATTTTTAGGATCTAGTAATTTTATTATTCTATCAATAATACTATTCTAATTTGTTTTATTTTTTACACACTTAATGCACTTTAGCCATAGCATATAACACAGCTTCTTTACATTTGTAGAATAGATTTTTCTGTTTCCTTCTCACCCCCTTTTTTAAAAGTTAACTTTGATCAATGAGATGGATCAAATATATCCAATTAATTCTTGGTGGTGAGACCAAGATCTAAAACATGTTAGCCCAGTGCCAAGGCCCAAACTCTTACCAGCGCCTGGAAAAAAGACCCTGATAGTTTGGACCCAAGTAACTTGTAAGAAAAAAATCTTCCATCCATATTCGCTATATGAAAAGCAGCATTGCCACTGAGGAAATTTGTAGGAGTTTATGCCAGCTGCGCTGTTGATAAGATTCTGACTTGAGAATACTGCATCATATATTGCTGGGATGACATCAGCCAAAGGATGTTTGCCTTTTGCTTCATTGTACTTTTTCTTAAAAGAGTTATTAAATGCTTCCTATCCTTTCTCTAAACATACTCCCATGACAATGCTCTGAAGGATCTTGAAGACAAACAGTTTCTACTACTAAAAATTTTTATTGTTTCTCCTTCATTCCAAGTCATTATATTCAGCTGCCAGCTGTCAGCTGTGAAAGCCAAACACAAGACTCAACTTATACTGTATTTTCTGTGCTATTTTCTTTTTCTAGGTTCAGCAGAAAATTAGAGAAAAATCCCTTTTACTGAAAGGTCCACCATTTCAACTCCAGGTCAAGGGTAAATAAAAAAAGAAAAAAGAAAAGAAAAAAAGAATTTAAAAAGAAAAAGAAAAAAAAAACATGCCTGTCCCCTCCTTAAAGGACCTTAGTCTTTAGAGGTCACCTTTTACAATAGACTTCTAGGTTCATTTAAATGATTTCCACTGCCTCAGTGAATTAGGTTTTATTTTACTTTATTTTAACAGTATCTTTATTGTAAAGAAAGATGAGAATCTAATGTAGCTTAACTACTCCTTGTGAAAAATGAGATTACTTAAAATTATATTGAATTTAGATGGTATTTGATGAGAATTTACTGTGTAGTAAGTTATTCTAAGGATGGTAAGTGGTAGAAAAGTAATACAGTAATAATTAGTGATTTTTTCCTTCCTATAAATTGCAAGACACTTTCATATCTCCTATCTCTTGGGAGCAAGCTAATCTATGTCCAAGGAGCCTGCCGACCTAGGATATAGATCATCTATAGATTTGTCTGAGGAGATTCATTAACTTTAAAACAGATACTCTGTCCTGGCAGCTGCTAGCATTTCACATATAAAGTTTATCTTCTCCATATTCCTATAATATGAGTAGGGAAAAGAGTCATTTTTATCTGGATTACCCAAATAAAGTTGATGCCTAGAGATGACTGGTGATTTACTCCAGTAATGGTATTGGTAAAGTGTCAAACTCTAGGAAAGGCACTAACATACATTCATAATTTAATCTTCAAATAATAATTTGACATAAGTCCTATAATTATTTTACAGTGAAGAAACTGAAGAACAGGAGATGTACTTGAAAGTGCCTGAGTGTTACTTCTTCAAAAAAGGCATCCAGATGGCCAACAGACACATGAAAGGATGCTCAACACCACTTATCGTCAGGGAAATGTAACCAAACCACAGTGAGATATCACCTCATACCTGTCAGAATGGCTAAAATAAAAAACTCAAGAAACAACAAGCATTAGTGAGGATGTGGAGAAAAAGGAATCCCTGTGTGCATTATTGTTGGAAAGGCACACTAGTGCAGCCATGTGGAAAATAGTATAGCTGCCTGTCTTCCTTTTAATTTGAAAATCCATCTCTCTGTCCTACCATCCTACTGGTTTAAAAGAGAAAATGCATAGAAATCTGGCAGGTAGAGACTTTAAATAAAAGGCCACATTTATTTATTTGTTTATTTGTTTAAAAAAATGGCTAGAAATGTATCATCTCCCCAGTGGCTTATAGATTTTTGAGTAGAGTTTATAGTCATTATAGGCTATAAAATTTAAAAAGTACAAAGAAATTATTTTTCTTCATTTTGTTCTCCCCTTTCAGGATTTTGTCCTCTATAGGCTATAAATTGATTTTATTCTTGGCAAATTAAACAATATCAAATAAAGGCCTGGAAAGTATTGAAGAAAACTACCAAGTGTAAATGTAGAGATAGGTTTTGAGTCCCAGGTAGTGAGTTTAGTAGCCCACACATAAGTTTACTTCTGCACTTGCTCTTAGAATTTTGTGGCAGGTTTTCCAATGGCCTATTCAACATACTCTCATAATAGATCTCTTCAAGTACAATTTCTTTTTTCAGTTAGAGGATCTCAATGCATACTTCTCACAGATAAAATATTTCCAAATGCTGCAGTTAGCAGAAGAGAGGAACTTGTCCTTTAGATATCCACAGAGCTGGTTAGTTGATTGCAATGTCTGTACTGGCGACCTGGAGAAGCAAGTCAGTGGATTTGACGTTAGGGTAACTGGTGAGAGGTGGGTAGCTTTTATGTTTTGTTTTGTTTTAATACGGTACCCTCCTGTAGCACCCTCTTTCTTCAGTAATAGAACTGTTTTCTCTCAATAAAAAATATGTTAACATAATATCAAAAAATCTTATAAAAACAAATACACAAAAATAAGCTGTAATGTAGGATCTCTTTCCTGACTCTTAATTCTCAGAATACTAAAGCACCTAATCCTGTTCACCAATCTTCCTAGTTCTATCTAAAAAAAATTAATAGGGAAAAATAAATCAAAGTAAAAAGCTTAACAGGGAAATCTCTTAATAGTTCCTATAACTTTTTTCTCCTACCATTAAATGATATACAGGAAATGTCCGTGAAAATTATATTGTTCATTCAGCATCTCAAATTTTGTTGTGAATGTGCTAGAGCATCATGGCAGCAGGACCAAAAGGAGGAAGACTTGAAAACCATGAAGCTACTCTTAAATTACCTCAGTTTTGATTCCAATCAAAAGCCTGTGGAATAATCATGCTGGCTATGTCTTCTGGAGAAAATTTGAGGTGTAAAATAAAATGAACTTTGGAATCCCCTCATGTTCCTAATTTTTCTTGTCACATTTCCCTCAGAAACTTACAGGTCAGGGGAGGGAGAGGAACCATCTTGCCAAAGCCAAGGTTTGCTGAGTCCATCTTGAGACAGTCCCACCCAGTAATCAAAGCCACTTTTGACCTTCTTCAGGCTGCCAGTGATAAAGTCCTAGAAGAAACAAGACCTGAACAGTGAGCTGAGGGGAAAACAATAAACTATCATGAAATACAAAGTTTGGCATTTTGCCTAGACAGACATTAATGGGGACTTGAGAGCTAAAGAATAGGAGAAAGGGTTTTATTTATTTATTTCTTAAAGATTTCATTTATTTATTTATTTATTTATTTATTTATTTATTTATTTATTTATGAGAGACACAGAGTGAGAGGCAGAGACACAAGCAGAGGGAGAAGCAGGCTCCCTGCGGGGAGCCCAATGCAGGACTCTATCCCAGGACCCCAGGGATCATGCCCTGAGCCAAAGGCAGATGCCCAACCACCAAGCCACCCAGGTGTCTCAAGAGGGAGGGTTTTAAAGAAGGAATATATCTTATAGATTTTTTTTTATTGCCATATGATAGATGGTGTGTTAAGGACTATGGGGAAAATAGGTGTCTGGTGTTAAAATAAACCTAACAGATCCAGAGTTGGGCAGATAATATATGTCAAAACAGGATGTTATACTGAACCTTCATTACCAGGAAAAATAAAAATATCCTTGACATCATAGACCATGTAGATCATTCTTTCCCAGTATTCCTCAATATGAGAAATAGTTTGGGAAATTCCAGAGGCAACTTAACTACAGGCATGTTTTGTCAGAAAAAAACATTTAACTTTTGTCACCAAATTTGCACAGAATAGTGTAAACCTATCATTGCTATAAGTCCAAGTTGCCTTAGTTTACTCCATATCTTTAACATATCCTTAAATTGTTCTCTCATTATTCTTGGAAAAAATGAACTTTAACTAATTATTGAGTATAGCAAGTGTACGTTTTAATGTCAGAAATGTGTAACTGTATTCTACTTCATACATATTTATGGGTAAAAATGATTTCAGGAAAGCACCATTTGTTAGGATATTAGTAAACTAAGCTTAATGTCAACTAAACATTTCATTTAGCAAATGCTTATTTTTATAGACCTCGCCATTTCATTACATCATCTCCCTTTTTATACTGCTTTCTCTTTTAATTACAAAATTGCTATTGGCTGTTTACTTCCCTACATCATTGAAGATAACAAATTTGTAACAAATATACAATTATAATGGATGTATATCTTGGATGGATTAACAAGTGACAAAATGATATTTCCTTTATTCCCTCTCCTTTCTGATAAACAAAGGACATATCACTAACATATTCCCCTGGATTTCTGGATCACGTCCTGGTTTTCTTGTTGTTATTGTTTGTCCAATTAAAAGGAAAACAAACCTCGGTCATTCCTACTTTGTCTCTTTTAAACCCTTATTATATACAATAAATATACTATTGTTATAGAATATTAAGAAATCCTATCTAATTAGAATCAGTCCTTTCTTTTAATGGGTATCAGGGTATTTTCAGAATGATATGAAACTATGAGATGGTGTTTACCATTTCTTCTTTGCTGTCTATTTGTAGAAGATTAGAGCCCTCCTTCAAACAGTCCTCCTTACTGGTGTGCCAATTTTTCCAGTTTTCAAAGACATGGTAACAACTTTCTCCATTCTGAATCCAGTTGTCAGGACAAGGGCTACAGTTGTGGGCTTTGAATATAAACATTTTACTTTGTTAAAGTTATTATAATAATATCAGCAGCACATTTTCTCAAAAGAAACCCTTGTCTCACCCCCAGTGAAGCTGAACATTGCAACCAAATGGTTCAGATGAGGCAATACTTACCACAATAAGTTTTATATAATTATTTCCAACTGCACTAGGTCTGTAAGAATTAGTTTAAGACAAAATTAATTTCAGAATATTTTTCCCAAACTGTTCCTTTTCTATAATAGTGGAACTGATTACTCTATTTTTACAACTCTTCATCTTTTTAAGTTTACAACACATATAGTCTTTATTGTTAGCTTATTGTTCCATGTCTGTAAATCTTACTGGCTCACTTTAGTTGGAATATAAACTGGGCCATCAGGCAAGATAATAATAAGTTTCAAGTTGATGTATAAATTCTGAGAGTTAAATATGAAAATGTTTCCTATAGGATGCATAGAACAAACAGTGCACTTTGAGAAGTGATTTGAAATATGTGGATGAAGAAAACTGAAGAAAAACATAAGTGACCAATAAGCTTATTTCAGGACTCAGATATAACTTATTTGTAAGCCATATTGTTTAATCAGTTCTATGAAATCTGTCTTAAGAAAGAATGTATTCACAAAAGAATTGTGCTCAAGAGTATAAAAGGGGAACCAAAAAACAAGAATTTGAACAAGTGTTTCTTGCACAGAGGGAAAGACAATGAAATTTCCAGAATCCTAATTTCTAGAGAGAGGCCTTCTATCTAAGGTCACAAATAGTTCATTATCGGTGTTCAGGGTCGACTGTTGAGTTATTTAAAGCTTTTCAATTTCTTTTTTTTTTAACTTTTTTTTATTGGAGTTCAATTTGCTAACATATAGCATAACATCCAGTGCTCATCCCACCAAGTGCCCCCCTCAGTGCCCATCACCCAGTCACCCCAACCCCTGCCCACTTCACCCTCACTGATATTTTCACTCATTTTCTCTCCTTTCCCTTTATTCCCTTTCACTGATTTTTATATTCCCCCAAATGAATGAGACCATATAATGTTTGTCCTTTTCCAAAGCGTTTCAATTTCTTTTGTTTGGAATTTATGCTAATTAGTGTCTTAACTATTGTTAAAATTATAGCAAGAGTGGTGTTGACAAAAGGAGCTGAAAGATTGGAGATATATTATTTGTAGATCTCCAAAATGGATTATTGCCAGTGTCTCAAGGTTAATGGCTCAGAGGTGGGCCTAACTTATGCTTGCAAAAGTCTATTATATTTAAAAACACTGTTGAGCACACATTGATTCTGTAAACATTTTTTTTTTTTTTGGCTAAATTTCAACTAGAAGGTAGGTTTTTGACCTCTTTCATTGGTAATTATTTAAATGGTATCCTACAGGGATGATTAATATCAATTAAGCAACCATAAAATACTTGACAAAGCATTTCTATGCAACACATAGAAATAAGGCTGTTTTAGGTTTAAAATTCTAGTAAAAATGTAAAAGATAAATTTGAAGTAATTTCATAGAATTTTTAAAAAGAGTTGAACTCTGCTTTGTTATAATTTCATGGCAGATACTCTGATTTTTAAAATTATTTTTCTGCTGAAGGAGATATCTAAATTTGAATCTAAAGCATTGTTTAAACTAAATATATTGAAGAATTTAAAGCTATAAAGATATACTTCTGAATTTGAATGATTGGATAAAACAAAATGCTACTTTAAAAAAATCTGATCTACTAATGCTACACATTTCCCTTTGCAATTTAACTGTATGTTTTTTAAATCTGCATTTCTTGAGATCTCAGTATTCTCCACATACTATCGAAGTATATAAACATATAAATAACATTGAACTGGAGTGTGGATCAAAAGATGTCTCTCCTAATTTAAAATTATGTCTGCAATTTTGTAGACAGTAAGATGAGTGCCACTGTTTCTTTTGAGGAATTGGTGCCCATATTTGTATCTGCACCATGGAAACTGATTTTGTATCAATTACCTGAACTGAAAGAGTTTTGCATCAAGGTTTGGCAATATTTCATCTGAAGGTTATGGTTTCTCTTCCATTGTGTGAAATTCAACAGTGCTCTGTCCTGATGGATGAGCTTTTCTTGCTGTTTCATTGCAATGGTAGATACCTGGAACACTTCAAACAATAACAATAATTCTTAATTAAAAATACCGACAAATTACAACACAATAATTCTTCCATACAGAGTAAGGACAACTATAGATTACTGATTATTTTGTGACTTTAGTTTGCACTAAGTTTTTGTTTAAAGTTTACACTGTTCAGGGATCCCTGGGTGGCTCAGCGGTTTAGCGCCTGCCTTTGGCCCAGGGTGTGATCCTGGAGTCCCAGGATTGAGTCCTGCATCAGGTTCCCTGCATGAAGCCTCTTTCTCCCTCTGCCTATGTCTCTGCCTCTCTCTCTCTGTGTGTCTCTTATGAATAAATAAATTAAAAAAATATTTTAAAAAATATAAAAAAATAAAGTTGACACTGTTCAAGAATCAAAAACTTCAAAGGATACAGAGGAAAAATCCCCTTTGCCACTTGGATGTACCCAACTCCACTCCCCAGAACAGTCAGGCTTATGAATTTCTTTTTTATTCTTCCATACATATTTTGAATTTTATCAACCAATGAATATAAAATGCTTCCTCTTCTCTTTAAACAAATAGTAACAATCTACTTATATGGTTTTTCATATTTTATCTTACCACTTAAAATATATTTTGGACATAATTCTGTATCAGTATACAAAGAGCTTTCTCATTCTTTTATTTTAACATTATCAGATTCCATTATAAGGGTATATCATGATTTATGTTAGTCATTCTCTACTAACTTTTAGACTATTTGTAATCTTTTGGTATTCCGGAAATAAATACTGTAATAAAGGACCTTAATCATACATAATTTCACACATATGCAAGTATATTTTTAAGAGAAGTTGCTAGGTCAAAGTTTATGTGCATTTAAATTGTATATAGATATTTCCAAATTACCTTCATTTAGGTTGTTGGAAGTGGTATTTCAATAGCATTTGAATTTGCATTTCCATTTTTACTCTTGGTGTTGAAACTTTATTTCATACATAAAAAGGTCAGTTGCATTTCTTTTTCTATGAAGTGTATAATTATATATGGCCTATATAATCACATGCTGTAATTTGTTTCATTGAGTTTCTAGTCTTTTCGTTATTGTTTTATATGAGGTCCTTATAGTGCTATGAGAATTCATTCCAACAGGTCCGGGATCAGCTTGAACAGTGTTTCTAAAGTTCCTGCCTGGCACTGACCTCTGGACAAAGTATGAGACATACTGAATAATAGTATATAACTTTGTAATCATCAGTCTGAGGATTTTTTGGTCAGATGATCCTGGCTTGTCAGCATTGTTTACTGATGCCATATGAATGATGATTTGTCCCTGGTCACAAGGAGATTCTGAGTAGGCTCTGCTGTTGAAGCTGATTACCTGGCAGAAATATGGCTATGTGGTCAGCATAATAAAAAAATACCCGAACAAGACTCATCTTGGATTCCCTGCTACCAAAGTGCTCTGTGTTCCTGACTCAAGAGAGAATTCACATCCTGAGAGGACAGTTACAGAGGGAAGACAAAGTGCTTATTTGCACCCGGCTCTTCAGACCATATCCTTACCTTAATGTGGTTCTTAAACTGTATCCTTTTCTTGTAATAAAATGTAGATTTGTCAGCACTGTCATTTCAAGTCCTGTGAATCTTCTTCTCCATTCCTATTTAACTGATTCTGTTACCGCACTTATCATTTTGGTAATGCATGATATGAGCCATGAATCTCCCAGTGTCTTTTGATTTTGCTTTCCGTAGTTCACTCCACATACATCAGATGCTTTTTGAGTCATTTTTAGCAAAAGTCTTACACCTGAGATTATATTTTTATAAATATATTTCACTTTCATATTTTGATGTAGCTGGAATTTATTTTGTTGGAATGTATAAGATATGACTTCCAAATTCTTTCCCTAGATGGCTACATTGTGCTCTCATATCCTTTACTGAACAACCCCCTCCTCATCCTCTTTTAACTGCCATCTTTAGCTTAGTGTAATTTTCAATAAACTACTTTGATATATTTATATTATTTTAATTATATTCAATCTACTTGCTTATCTACTCATATGTCAATACCACATAGGCTTCATTATTTTAGACTTATAATTTATTTCAATATTTGGCAAGGGCAGTCCTCCCGTTTTCATATTATTTTTACATTTTTTGTAGTTCTTTACCTATAAATCTGAATAGCTTTTTAAGTCAGTTCTTTTTTAAATATTTTTTAAAAATTTATTTACTTGACAAAGAGCGAGAACAGTAATACAAGCAGGGAGAGGGACAGAGGGAGAAGGAGAAGCAGACTCCTTGTTACACAGGAAACCCAATGCAGGGCTCGATCCCAGGACCCAGGGATCATGACCTGAGCTGAAGACAGACACTTAACCAACTGAGTCATCCAGGCACCCAAAATCAGTTCTTTTTAAAAATCATATTATAAAGTATCAATTCCTATTTTATTAAATATTTTTTAACATAGATATTGACTTTCTTTATGCTGTTTGGCTTTTATAGAATTCCTTGAATCTGTTGCTTCATATTTTTAATCAGTGTGGGAAAATATTCATGTAATAAGTCTTAAAATAATATTACTTTTGTCTAACTCTCTCTGTCTTCTACGCTTGGGTCTACTATTACACATATGCTAATCTTTCTCAATATACTCTAGGACTCTCATCCTCTTCCATGTTTTGCTCAAGAGCTATGGACAATGGATGAATATGCCTTATCTATCAGTAATCCTGGTTGCTAGTGGCTTGGATTACGTTCCTTCTTCTTAGCGAAAGGTTGAATGTAACCAGAGTGGGGAGTAAGAGAGTGATGTTATTTATTTATTCTATTTATAATCTGGTATGTTTGGAAATTCCCTTTTAGAAATTTGAAGTATTGTTCCAAAGTTTTGAATTTTGATGTTTTCTAGATTAATTATATTCTTGAGTCTATTTCTGTTTTGTTTATTACTACCTGAAAAGGTTGTACTACATAAAGCTGTAATAAAACTGGAGAAAGGGAAAGGAGACTTCTCTTTAGTTTCCCCCTAAATGGGAAGCAAGGTATTGTATCTTTACTGGTGTTCTGCTTGTAATCAATTTGCAACAAGTGAAGAACAAAGATTCAACAGTGTATTTACTTAGGGGAATATAAAACAAATGTTTTTAAAGCCCTCAAAATAAGAGTATTTTTTATATCATGTTATATGTTATATCTAATTGATGAATTAAGAAAATGAAAAAGAACAGTAAAAATAAATGGAAAAATATGACTTTTTAGAAAATATTTTGCACTATAGAGTTTTTAAAATAGAAAGTAATTAGCATAAATCATATGGTAGGACAAATAGAAAATATAAAATAGTAGGAAGAAAATAAGGGGATCCCTGGGTGGCGCAGCGGTATGGCGCCTGCCTTTGGCCCAGGGCGCGATCCTGGAGACCCGGCATCGAATCCCACGTCGGGCTCCCGGTGCATGGAGCCTGCTTCTCCCTCTGCCTGTGTCTCTGCCTCTCTCTCTCTCTCTCTGTGTGTGACTATCATAAATAAATTTAAAAAAATTATGAAAAAAAAGAAAATAAGAAATTACTCCTACTTACATTGAAACCTACCATTCAAATAACAGTTGCTAATAGTTCATATCTATTGAAACTTTTTCCATATGTGTATGTAAAAAACACATCTATTTTACATATAATGTTTATGAAACTGTATTTTTCCATTACTGACTTATTAATCATCTTATTTCATGGCAAAATTTTGCATAACCATATCTCCACGTTAATAACAATAGTTCTAAAAGACTTCTTTAAATTACTGCAGTGTATCCTTTTATATCAATGTAACATGATTAATTTTTACCAGTTATTTTATTTTCAGATATCTATGTATGCACTTTTGATGGTATATAGGAATAATTTATAATTAACTCATTCATTACTTTATTACCATGATACTTTAAACAGGATATAGATTTCCATTCATTACTCTTTGTGAGAAACATGTCCTTTTTTCTACTATGTATATTAAATTACATACATTATATGTGTTATAATGTATATAGTACATTATTATATATATAATTTAAATACTAGTATTGACTTTTACAATGAAAATTTTCATGGAAAAAACATTTCACATTCTTTGTTAAAATGGAATGATGATTAAGATAAAATAATTATTAAAAATTAAACATGATTTTTATAGCTCAAAATCTACTGGCTATAACATAATCTATAACTAGGAAGGACAAGCAGTTAGTTAGGAATGTTTGAAGTACACAAATTGTTTCTTGTTTAACACAATCTTTTTGTTTCTATAACTAGTTTTACTTAACAAAAGTCCTAAGAATATTTTGAGAATGTAGAAGATGACATTGGTAAATGACAATTTTGGAGGGCACCTGGGTGGCTCAGTCAGTTGAGCATCTGCCTTCATCTCAGGTCATGATCCCAGGGTCCTGGAATCAAAACCCACTACGAGCTCCATTCCCAGTGGGAAGTTTGCTTGTCTCTGCCTCACTGCCTTCTCTCTGCTCATTCTCTCCACTCTCTCTCTCTCAGATAAATAAATGAAATCTTAAAAAAAAAATGACAGTATCGGTAGCACAAAAATGAAAGTCACTATACTTGAACAAAAGCCGATGGTAAAAGTATTTTACATTGGTATAGTGATATTTAAAAGTTTGAAAAGTATTTATACTTATTAACACACAACAAAAGAAAGACAAAACTTTTATTTGTAAGTATGTCCCAGAAATAACTGAAAGTTTTAAATACTTTTTAAAAAAGATTGTATTTATTTATTTATGAGAGATACAGAGAGAGAGGCAGAGACATAGGCAGAGGGAGAAGCAGGTCCTCGAGGGGAACCTGAACGGGACTTGATCCCAGGACCCCGGGTTCATGTCCTGAGCCAAAGGCAGATGCTCAACCACTGAGCTACCCAGGCATCCCAAGTTTTAAATACTTTATTTTCTGGCTAGCTTTTCTTTATCTTCACTGAAATATTTTCTTCACCCAACTTTTGTTCTGGAAGTTAAAAATATTGTTTAATACATTCCATGGGATTACAACATTAAAAAACAACAAAAAGTAAACACTGATATTGTCACCATATATCTCCTTCTCCTGATCCCATTTTTAGTTACTTCTTATATATCCTTCCGGTATCACCTGGCATATGAAGAAAATATTTGTTCTCAGTCAAATTGTGGTGTACTGTATACATGACTTTAGAAGTTGCTTTTTTCACTTAAGGATGTATCCGGAAGACATTTATGTATCAGTCCATAGAGAGCACTTGCTTTTTACTGCTGTTGCTTCCTCCCTCCCCCTTTTAAAACCCATCTCTCTCCTCTCCCTCCTTCTTCCCTCCCCTCCTCTCTCCCCTTCTTCTTCCTCCTTCTCTATTTCCTCTTCTTTCTCTTCTCCTCCCTTCTTTTCTTTTCTCCTTCTGTTTCTCTTTCTTTTCCTTCTTTTTCTCCTCTTTGTTTCATGGTATTCCATGATGTGGATGTAATATTGTACTATTGTTAATTTAAATGATCCCTTAAATGATAGGCATTTGAGTTCTTACAATTTTTTTTATACCCCGTTGCTATATGTGTAGGTTTATCTATAGGAAAAGTTTCCAAAAGTGGGATTTCTGGGTAAAAAATAATTAGTATAGTTTAAAATAACGCAGAGTTTGTCAGGAACATGATTGTCATAATTTATCTAAACAGATTTTAGATTTTTTTTTATACCCCGTTGCTATATGTGTAGGTTTATCTATAGGATAAGTTTCCAAAAGTGGGATTTCTGGGTAAAAAATAATTAGTATAGTTTAAAATAACCCAGAGTTTGTCAGGAACATGATTGTCATAATTTATCTAAACAGATTTCATGAACTATACAGAGAGAAAAACAAAATTAAAATTATATTGACAGCAAGTTTCTTGAGGACATGGAAAATGTAGAGTATGTTTTTACAAACACCCTTAGTATGTACTATGTGTGTTTTTTGGCTATGTAATAATTGGTGATTGGAGACTATAGGTTCATTTTTATATAAAGACATATTCTATATCCCAATTACTTAATAATATTACTTGAAGTATTGCATCTTTAGCTAATCTTGTTTTTAATTGAAAATGTTCTTTATAAACTTCATTTGTTTATATTCTATATCCCAATTACTTAATAATATTACTTGAAGTATTGCATCTTTAGAAAATCTAGTTTTTAATTGAAAATGTTCTTTATAAACTTCATTTGTTTTATCTTCTAACCCCAGGTAGTTCATATTTATAAAGCAGCATTGAAATTTATTATATCAGTGTGATATTTAAACCATATCTTTTGATATTTGCAATGCCAGTTAAATATGAATTCTTGGGGGATCCCTGGGTGGCTCAGTGGTTTAGCGCCTGCCTTTGGCGGGGATCCTGGAGCCCCGGGATTGAGTCCCATGTAGGGTTCCCAGCATGGAGCCTGCTTCTCCTTTCACCTGTGTCTCTGCCCCCCACCCCCTCTTTCTATGTCTATCATAAATGAATAAATAAAATCTTTAAAAAATATGAATTCTTGTACTGTCATTAGAATGGAGTTCAACAATATTCTGTTCAAAGTGTCCAGATTTTAGAAAAGAAACTGAATCATTAGATGTTAACTGATTTATCAGTTAGTTCTCTTTCAACTCTGGAATCTATTTCCAGTGTGTCTGTTTGATAAATATATATTTAAATGTGAGTTCCTTAAAAAAAAAAAGACTTGGATTTGGTTTAAATAATGCATTTTTATATGAAGCACAAAGAGAAAGTAGGGTGAGATAAGGAAAGCTTTCTGGAAGTGCTAACATTTGCTGTGAGTAGTAAAATTTCTTTTGAGATGATAGACAAGGTAACAATTCTTTATTGAGCTTCTAGTAATTCTTAAATCAATTTTCTAAGAAGAATCAGGAAAATAAACTCACAGCTAATATGAACAAGATTAGGTTTCTTGTATTTTGTGAAAGTAAATCTGAACCCATCTCTTTCTCATTGTAGAACTCATAATTCTCCCTCATTGCTAAAGTCTTCTACATAAATAAATGCTTTGCCAGAGCATATGAAAAGGAAGAATTATCTGAACTATAATTTTTATCTCTGTCTTTCTAACCTTCTTAGTACTAGCATGAGTGATAATGCAGTTATTAGTTGTTTTTTTGTTTATTTTTTAGAATCATAGCCCTGTAATTATATTTTATAGAAGTTTCACTTGCCAGATATGAAAACATGTCTTAAATTTGACTAAAGGAAATAAATGTGATTAAATATGGCCCACATAAAATACTTAGATTTGCATTAAACTTATTAATTTGTACTTTGCCTAATGTAAAGTGAAAGACTTACTAAAATAATCTGCATAAAAATAAGTTTAGAATACATACAGTTTTAGAAAAGAAAGCTTTATACTTAATCCTGCAAATTGCCTCCTTTAGCATACTAATATGATTCACAAATTGAATCATAATAATAGGTAATTATTTGCATTATTTTCCCCAAAGAGACCTACAGCATTAGAATTGGGCTAAAAAACATGCAAATGAACATTAAATGTTATTAAAAGTGACATACAAGTGCTTTGTGAGTTATATAAATGTCCCATAATTTAAATTAGGAACACTTGGGGGGTCTGGGTGGCTCAGTCGGTTAAGCATCTGACTTCAGCTCAGGTCATCATCTCATGGTCCTGGTATTAAACCCCTTATCGGCCTCCCTGCTTAGCAGGGAGTCTGCTTCTCCCTTTCCCTTTTCCTCTGTCCCTCCCCACTCTCATGTTCTCTCTCTTGAATAAAAAAAAAAAATCTTAAAAAAATTAGTAAGTCATTATTTTAGATCACTTATATGCATTTACATGTTTCTAATTGTTTCTCTATTTATAAATTATGACATTTTATTTATAATGATATGCATAAACAGAATTGTATATAAAGGTATATGCAGGGATGCCTGGGTGGCTCAGCAGTTGAGCGTCTGCCTTCACCTCAGGGCGTGATTCTGGGATCCAGGATGGAATCCCACATCGGGCTTCCTGCATGGAGCCCACTTCTCCCTCTGCCTGTGTTTCTGCCTCTCTCTCTGTCTCTCATGAATAAATAAATTAAATCCTTAAAAAAAAGCTATATTCAGCATATATGTAGGTTTATAATGCATAATTGTGTATAAAGTATATGAAATATATGTATATAGATTATTTTGAAGATATCCTTGTGTACTTACACTTGAGGCCCAAGAAACAAACAGAGGTTGCTATTGAGCCCACGCAGAGAATACATGTAATCACCGTCACCAGACACCATGCTCCTGGAGTAGGATGGGGCAATGACAGTGAGTTAGAGAAAGTAGATGAGAGAAATGGGTTGGGATAAAACTAGACTGAATGAAAGAAAGAATTAGTATTCTTACTCGAAAATCCTTGAGGCATGGGAACTGTGATAACAGGAAAAAAGAACTCCAACTTTTTTTTTTAATATTTTTTTATTTATGACAGTCACAGAGAGAGAGGCAGAGACACAGGCAGAGGGAGAAGCAGGCTCCATGCACCGGGAGCCCGACGTGGGACTCGATCCCAGGTCTCCAGGATCGCACCCTAGGCCAAAGGCAGGCGCCAAACCGCTGCGCCACCCAGGGATCCCAGAACTCCAACTTTTTGAAATGCAAGTTAAAACTCAGAACACCTTTGATTTAGAAAGATGTCAAATCCAAGAGGTTAAGTAACATACTCCTCTTACCTCTTATGGTGCTACAGTCTTACTAACTAGTTACCTATATTCTATTCCGACAATCTTTTAGAGATTATAGCAAACCAGAAAGCAGGCTTTCATATTTGAAAGTAGAAATGCTGTGGCACATCATCCCTTTTCAGTGCCACTTGAACATGACTGTTTCTGAGATATTTCTTTTAAACATACAATTTTGGATGAGGAATACCTCCCCTCCACCCCAGGTAATTTTGCATCTATCCAGGAAAGAAAAATGAGGAATGTGTGGTTTGTTATATTCTTAACACAAATCAGAGAAAAAATAAAACTTATCTTTGGATTATGTGGTAGGCTGAATAATGCCCCTGTCCCAAATGCCCATGTCCTACTCCCTGGAACTTGTAAATGTTACCTTTTGTGGCAAAAAAGACTTTACACTGTATTAAGTTAAGGATCTTGAGATGGGGACATTATGCTTTTTATCTGGGCCTTTGTAAGTGAGAGGTTAGTGGTCAGGGTGCTACATGATGATGGAAGCAGAAAGAAATTTGAAGGCGTAACTGCAGGCTTTGAAAATGGAGGAAGGAGCCATGAGCCAAGCAGAGCAAGAAATGCAGCTCTAGAAACTGGAAAACACAAATAAATGGAATCTCCCCTAGCTAGAGCCTCTCGAAGGAATGCAGCCCTGTCAACATTTTGCCCAATGAAACCTATTCTGGAATTCTGATGTTTAGAACTGTTAAGATACTAAAGTTATGTTGTATTAACTCTCTTGGTCTGTGGTAATTAATTATCAACATGATAGGAATCAAATACAAATGTCACAGAAGAACACCAGGACTGATCACCATAGCACACAGCTTCAGGCTGGTAAGATTTTCAATTTTTCAACCTATTTTTTTCTCTTTATTTCCTAGTGTTTGTCAGGTAATTTTCCGGGCATTTTATACAGGAACTAAAATAATAAAAATATATGATTTTTTTCATTTATCTTCCAAATCCAGGAATTCTTTGTCCTTCCAGCAAGAGACAGGGGAAAAAGTTACCATATATTTGTCAAATCCATTGATCTCTTCCTTTTGCACCTTTAATTACTCTTCCACATCACTTCATTTTTTAATATTAGCATATCATGCACATTATCATATGCATGCATATGTGGGTTATTTCATTAGAAAAATCACCTTGGGCTCATCATAGAACAGGAAACAAAACATAAACTGCAAAGTCTTGGATTGAATAATTAGAACTGGTTACCTGAATATTTGGTGGAAGATAGGTGGTTCTGGTAAAAGCTTGGTGTTGGACTATCCCAACGAAGAGAGGTGTATATTTCTTCCTCCTGCATGTCTGAGATGCTGTGATAGGTAAAGCAGTCCACATGAGAAGCTAAGACAAATAACTCCTCTTACGGAAGGAACAGGCTCGTGAAAGAACTGAAATTGGCTACTTCTCACACTAGTGGGAAACTATGTTTGGGTTTAATATATAGAATATATGCATTTTCATCTGGAAAGCAGAAGTTTATGAAGTGTAAGCCAAAGTATAACTTGTTAAAGTAAGAAGTGAGAAAAGAAACTGAATCGAAAGGGCCTAAGGTAGAGTAGTTATTGCTCTGGGTTCTGAAGTGCAGCAGTTGTTGAAGTGGATTATACCACTGGATTATTACCAAGATGAAAAGAATAGAGGTGCAAAAAAATGCACTTCTATTTGGTACAAAACATGAAGAATGTGGATGACACAGACAGCAAAGATCCGAGGTTAGCTCACATTGGACAAACCAGGGTATAAGGAGCTATAGATCATTGTGTATCCTTAAAAAAAAAAAGCTAGGAAGGAATTTCTCCCCTAAAATAAATTTACCCACTGTATTAGTTAGGGTAATGCAGTTTCTGTGACAAGTAAATCTTAAAAAAATCAGTTTTTTAACACAATAAAGATTATTTCTTGCTCTCATAACAATTTAGCTCCAGTAATCCTGGTTAGTGGGAAGATTTCCTCCAAATGGGCTTCTATCTTGTGAGACTGGAGTCTCTTAGAAAGGAAAAGAGAAGATGGCAAATCCGTGTCTACTTCTTGAAAGCCATAATCAAGAAGTAACATATAGCATGTCCACATCAACTAATGCAATGCCTGTTTTAGCTCTAAAAGGCTGGGTCTGATAAATGTAATTTTTGCCTGGCTAGCAAACTTTTGATGACTACTTTGCTCTAAATGAGAAGCATGAATTATTTAGTGGATAGATGGCCATTTCTGCCACATCTTGTGATTATAGCCTTGGTATTAAGAAACTTGATATTTTAATCATCATTCACATATTGGCCATTTGTCCTTATGGCCAAGGATCATATCTTGATAATTTATAGTTTGCAAATCTCAACAATCTGCAAAATTGCAATGTTCTTTTTTGTTTCACTATCTCCCTGGATCAATCATTGATCTCTATAACAAAGCAAAACAAAAGGCATACTCAAAGAGTAATCTAAGGGCATTGGATAAAGACACTGTTTATGGAAGGGGTAATGGGAACAAAAAGAGGTGCTGAAATATGCATTGGGATGATGTTATCACCCCTAGGCCTGAGGAGTTAAGAGGAGGGTCTTTGAACCTTGTGACTGTCTGATGGGGGCCATGGCCTAAGATACAGAACACACAGCCTTTGTCAAATGTGGCATGGTAGGGAGAAAGCCAAGGGAATGAATACCCTGACCATGCTCTCCTTTCACCCTTTGATTACTGTGAGTCCCTCCCAATAGCTAAATTAACCGTAAGCCAGAGGAAAGTTGCTCCAAGAAGTGTTGTTCATTTGAGCTCTACCTCCCAAGGCACAGGGTGGGCCTGAGAGGATCTTAGGAGGTAAACGCAAGCAAATTCTCCATATTTTTCAAATGATTTTCATGCAACCTGAGATTCTAACCTGAAAAATAATGTGACTTAACTCTCTGTAGCCTTTATCATGTAATGATTTCTATCCTGAGGAGAAAAAGAGGAAGAAACCATAAGTATACCAAACATGCATTAAGACTAATGTTGGGAGTACAGGAAAGGAAATTCAGTGAATTGTCATTAACTCCCAGGTGCTCTCAAATTTTATCAGTACCAAATATCAAGCTCAGGAAGATCTAGTTTTCTCTAATACAATACATTCTCTGATAAGTTTCTTTGGGGGAAACATTGGGCTCTCCCAATAAAGGATTAATATGTTACTTGTATTGCTCTTGTTTTTAATCGCACTACCTGCTATTATTCATTACATTCCAAGCACTGTTTCAACGGGCTTTTATGTGAATTATTTTGATTCTCAAAATAGCACTCTGATAGAAACACTATTATTAGTACATTGTAACTTAATTGTAATTGAAGCACAGATAGATCAAATTATTTACTGAAGTTCACTTGGGTAGTAAGTGGAAGAGTTAATATTTGAAACTAGGAGGTCTTATCACAGAACCTGTGCTATTAAAATCTGTACTATTCCAATTTCATGTATAAGATGCTTTTGATCTGAGTACCAGAGAAAAGAATTTTTGTAGGCATTGTTTGATTGGTTTATGTATTTTAAAGATTTTATTTATTTATTCATGAGAGACACACACAGAGAGAGGCAGAGACACAGGTAGAAGGAGAAGCAGACTCCATGCAGTCCAATGTGGGACTCGATCGTGGATCCTGGGATCATGCCCTGAGCCGAAGGTAGATGCTCAATCGCTGAGCCACCCAGGCATCCCTATACGTTTACATTTTTTAATTACGTTTTTTGCCATAAATGAAGATATATTCTTTGAAATTTACTGGTGCCATAGTAACATATAAACATATGTTTTTCCATTTGTGGGCAATAAAACACTAAAGTCCAGAGATATGGTTGGTTGTTTTTGGATGGTTTTCTGAATTATTAGTTCCTATTCCACCTCTCTAAGTCAATAAGCAAAAACAGTAAAATAATGATACTATACCTCAAAAGCCAAGATCTCAAGACATTTGAAGTAGAAACAGAATCTGAAGCATTTGCATTATTTTTCCTTAGTCCCCCCAAAATCTGCTTGTTGATATCGATAATCTACATCAAGATAAAGATTCAAGTGTCTTTGAGTGTTAGAGCACAAAGGTAAGTAATACGTATTTATTGAATATATATTACATGCTTGGTACTGTATTCAATATTTTATATATTATACTAAATGATCCTCACTATTACCTGTGAGTAAAGTAATAATATCAAGCCCACTTCATAAGTGAGGAAACAGAGTAATTTAGCAAAAGCCGCACAGGGAGCAAGTTCTAATGTAATTTTTCTCAAAATATATTAAAATTTATTTGTAGCTTTGTCTCAGCCTTCCACTGAGAACCTTATGCATTTGTATTTGAACATCTGTATGCTTTAACAAACATCTCAAATGAGATGTTTCAGAATCTTATTTATAAATTTTGTTACCACCAATGTAAGAAGAAAGAGTACTTCAGGGAAGCTGTGGGAAAGAAATGCAATTTTTGCCTATTATCCTATGAAAGAGTGCCTCTCCACATATCTATAAATTCTTCATGAATTACTCAGCAAAAACCAAGCATAGAACTGTCAGGAAAAGATAAAACATTTGTACTTGCTGCTTTGTTAACTTGCCTATAGACCTTGTTAAGAAGTATTTTTCTTATTTTTAAGCACCATCAAGTTTTTTGCATAGAAATTTTGTTTTCCTTGTGCAGAAGGAAACTTTATTTTCTTTGCTGTTGAATCTGACTGAAGGTGGATTCCAAACACAATTGTGTAATGTTTTACAGATCAATCTTCTCACACAATGAGAAGCCGCTTTCTGTTTCTGCTGAGCCAGGAACCGTGTTTGGTGCCAGGCATACAACAGCAAATGGGAAAGTCATGGTGTTGGCCTTCATGGGACTCTGATGTTTTATTAGATTGTACAACTGTAAAATAATGGGCGCGATTCTATCTGAAATGTGAGAAAATGAATGTTAAAGTGACTACATGACTAATTGGTCCACGGTTGTACATTAAGTAATCATACAATCTAGATTATTCTACTTACTCCAAGTTTAGTATCCTTTCCATTACCTTATGCTGACTTTCAGATTTAGGTATTTTGCACAGCTTAAGCCAATTAAGTTCTAACTTTTCTTATTTCAATTTAAAATGTATATGTTTATGTCTGAAAATGCGCCAAATCATACCATGTTGAGATGATTAGGAATGGAAGAGAAGAAGAAAGAAAATCCATGGAAACAGGACAACTGAGAACCAATCATCATTCACAGATAGGCTTCTGGATGTATAAAGAAGAAACAAAGTTATCTTATCCCTTGTTATAAAGGGATATATATATATATTTTTTTTTTGAAGTGGTATTGTTAGAAAAGATAATGCAAAGGTGACTCCAAGGGAAATAAAGGGAAAAATAAGCCATTTTATGGCTAGTGAGTTCTGCATCCAGATCTTTCATTGTAAAATTGAGCACTTGTCTATGACATCTCTTTGCATTAAAGTAGTGCGTCCACATTCACCATGCCTGCCTTTTTCTCACATATTAAATAATGTTTGTTCTTACAGACAGTAGGGTAAATTTTCCCATTATAAAAATAAGCACAATTCATATTTTCTCTTTCGTTTCCAGAAAGCTCAAACCTGTGAATGGAAAAGATAGAATGAGTTCCTTCGAAAGCTATATAAACAGTCAACAATTAAACTCTGTGTGAAAGTATTTTGTTGCACAAAGTGGAAACAGTAGGGGGATTAATGCAAAAAGCCACATTCAGATCATTGACGAATTTTCAATCTGCTTGGGAGTATAAAGTATGTACATCTGAGTAACTCAATAGCAATTTACTATAGCAGTGATTAAGCAACAAGTGAGCAGTAGGCAAATAGGTGTCCAGAGAAAGAGATGGATGGGATGTGAAATGATAGGAAAAGCTTTACTTTTTCATCTTTTCATGGAAGATAATGCTTATTTCTGCCTTGAAGGAAGGGTAGGATTTAGATAAACAGAGAAGAGGTGAGAGACCCCATAGGTCAAGTAGCTGCACCAAGTGGGACTGCGCTTAAGGAAAAGTAAGTTGATTAAATACTTTTGAAATGAGGATTTATGCTACAAGGTAGCAGAGATAAGGCAGCACACTCTATTGTAGTTGCCTGTTAACTTGTCTATGTTCTCTGCTGTGCTGATTATGACAAGAGAACAAAAAAATATATATTTAATTTATTCACCAAATACCTATGGGATACCTAGTATGTGCCTAAGTTTGTGTGTGTGTGCTGATATTGATAGAGTAAACAAGGACACAGTCAGTTCTACTAGGAAAGTTACATCATGGTAAGAGGACATTGGTAAGAAACCAACAAATGGAAAATTTCAGAGAATGGCAAGAGAAATGAAATGGTTATGATTATGGACTCAAGTGGATATAGGTGGAAGGAGGTTAATTCAGTTTGTGCAATTTAAGTTGACCTCATTGAAGAAGTGATGTTTAAACAGACACATAAATCACAAGGAGGAGCTCATCATGGAGTTCTGGAAGTGGAGCATTCTAGAGGAAAACAGTAAGTACAAAAGCCCTAAGACAGCGAAACAAGTTTAGTTCATTGAAAGCACAGAGGGTTCACCAGTTTGCCTTCAATATGGTGAATGAGTCAGTAAATGATAGGAAATAAAGCTCGAGATCTAAGATGTTTGCTTATAGTTGCATTATCCTTTGCTCCTACCCATAGTAAATACTTAATATCTGTTGAATAAATTAATTGAAAATTTAAGTAACGATCATATTGTACAAGTTGTGGTTATCAGTGTAAATTTTAACTGAAGAGACATTACAGTTTTGATATACATGATGAGCAAAGGCCTTGAGATTGGATATTGGAAAGCATATTAAATACTCAGTGTAAATGCCTCCTTTGCTTGGACTGTCTGAAGAAGGATGGAGCCTTATGATATGAACATTAGAACCACCTTGTGAACGGTGGTTGCCTGATTTGTGGAGACCTCTGGGGTGGAAGAGTATGCAAAATGATACTGGAAAGTCAAAAGAATCCTAGAAGTAATCACTTTCAACCATTAAATAACAAAAATGATCATTTTGTTTGAAAAATATGTGAAGAGACTCATCAACCTAAACACACACACACACACACACACACACAAATGTTTCAATGGTAAATTTGAGGGTAGAAATGAATGGGGAAAATATCAGGAATAGAAATGGATTGTAACTTAGATTAAGAGTAGAGGAATGGGAGAGTAAGTTAAGTAGAACTGTCTTATTAGAAGTACCATGCCAGTGAGTGTGCTGCTGCATATATAGCACACAGTAGGGCATAGAGCCACCTACTAACTTTTAAGTAACTTGTCCTCAAGAGGGTAGAGGATCTCAAGAATAAAATTTTCTAGTTGTGCCTTGAATTCTGAATGTCCAGTGACTTACACATCTTTGGAGGGTACATAGCCATCTTCCCACATCCAGATCTCATTAGGGTTCTTGCGGGATAATCCAACCCAACGAATTAATCCAGTCCTGGACTTTATGTATTTCTATTGCAAACACAGATATATATAATGGTCAGCTGACTTCCACAGTTCTTGTAATGGTGTAAAAACAAAACTTTGTGATAAGATCCTGAACAACAGGAACACGTTAGATTATATGTCTATGTTAATGCTCATTAATTATATTTGATATTTAGAATTGTGCCAAGTTTATTTGTTTTAGAATAAAAAATTGCTTGTTGAACACAGAAAAAAATGTTCACAGAAAGCAGATATTCTAACCTTTCTACACGCTTATCTTCCATCGATTGAAGACAAGAGTTTCAAATAGTGTGCCAAATATGGCTCTTAAATAACATAGTAGTAAACAACTAGAGAAGGAAAATGAAAAAAGAAATATATTGTTGGTGAAACTTTATTATTCCCTAGATTTAAGTTCTACTTACTTTGATTTCATTCCTTAGTTTAGTTTATAGTAGCCTACAATATTTACATTGGAAGTATTAAATTATTTTAGTTGATTGAATAAAAGAAATTATATGATGTCTTTCTCAAAAGGATTACAAGCAGCATTTGCTTTTTCTAATTTATACCTTTTTCTACTTAGGAATTATCACTACCTACTATAGGATACACTGTACTTACTTGTTCTGTTCATTGCCTATTGCTTCAACTAGACTATAAGTTCCCTGAATCTAGAGACTTCTGTATGTTTTATTAAGTGCATTGGTTCAGCTACTGGAATAGTTCCAATGCATATTTGTTGAATTAATAGAAAAATCAATCAGTCAATCAATCAATCTATGGGTAACAAAATTACAAAGAGTCAAATGTACTCTCAAACCTCCTAGAAAAACAGGTAGGTGAGAAAGCATTCATGGCAAGTAAAAAATGACTTGAACTTCTTGACAGAAGTGAGGCACAGAATGGCATTCCATAAGAAAGTCACTTTTGACTGCTTGATTTTTATTTATTTATTTGCTTATTTTTAAGACATTTATTTATCTGTTTTAGAGAGAGAGACAGCAGAGGAAGGGGTAGAGGAAGAGGGAAAGAATCTCAAGCAGCCTCCCTTTTCATGGGTTTCGATCCCATGACCCTGAAATCATGATGTGAGCCAAAACCAAGAGTCAGACGCTTAACCAACTAAGCCACCTAGGGACCCTGACTGCTTATTTTTTTAAAGGTTGAGCTACCCCTCATCTTTCTATTAACTCTTGATCTTTCTTTAAAATATATCCACATTATATACTTCACCATAAGAAGTATATTCTACTTGAAATTCACCTATTGTTTCTCAAAAATGACATCACTTCCTCTTTCATTTATAAACTTCCAACCTGCCATCAGCTTAGAATAGCAAGATTCAAGACATGTTTGTACGTCTTCAATTAATCTCTTATTGAAGTTGAGATTTTAGGGTACTCTCATTTTGCTTGATCAGGAAGAAAGTTAATTTATTTACTTGAATGTCTTCTCTATGAATTTCAGTTCACAAAAAGAGTTAGTGGGTGGTACAGCAGTTAGACTAACAAGGCGCACAAATGATCATGAGTGTCACTGGAATGATCTCCTCATGTCTGGTCCATTACTTTGGCTCAGGAATGTATAAGTCAATTTTTTTTAAAAAAAGATTTTATTTATTTATTCATGAGAGAGGGGCGGGGGGCAGAGACACAGACAGAGGGAGAAGCAGGTTCCATGCAGGGAGCCTGATGTGGGTCTCGATCCTGGGACTCCAGGATCATGCTCTGGGCCAAAGGGTGGCATTAAACTGCTGAGCCACCCAGGGATCCCCATATAAGTCAATTTTGTTGATCAATTACAGCAGTTCTGAAGAATATTACTGGCTTGACTATTTAAGTTCATTTTAATCTCTGTACACAACCCAAATTCAGATCTTCTACTTGCTTTCATTTTTAATATACAGAATGTGAATAATTACCACATTGGAAGCTATCGGTTAAATACTATAAACAATTTCTGCCTTTCAAAAAATGTTTTAATGAATCTATTATTTGGCAGAAGGGAGACTCCAAGGCTTGGTTTCTGATTTGCTCCAGGATTCACAAAAAAGAGAAAAACTGCCTTAAATAATAAAGGGAGAGTGCATGAGTGAATGTGAACATATTTCACTTCAAAACAGAACCTTTGTTAGAAGCTGTCCAAGAGGAAAAATGTGGAAAAGAGACTTGTTTAGTAGAAAAATTTCAACTGAAATCCTGTGTATTTTGCAAATAAAGTTGTTCCCAAAACTATGGAAAAGCCTATGAAAAGGTGGAGTCTGAGTCATGGTTTGTTCAAGTTCAACTGTTGAACAATTTAGCAGAAACTGAGGACTCACATGATATTTGGATGACATTTCTATTTATATTTTACAATGGTATTGAATTTCTTTATACTTTATACATAAGATTCTCTTATGAGTTAGTAAATGCAATTAAAGGAGTTGAGAAAAGTGAAATGGCTTGTCACAGAGATAACACCAGAACTCTAAGTCTCATTGGTTCATTTTACTCCTTTTTACTCTTAAATATGGTCATTTCTACTGGGCTTGATGAGGTTCTCAGATTAGCAGAGATTGGAAGAAATGAGGGAAAAAAGTATGCATATATTTTAAAGTCAAATGTTTCACTTAAGATTCTTCTCCTTATGACTCCAAAATATTTGACACAGGAATCTCCTTACCAGAACCTTCTGGCTGGTGATCTTCAGCAAAGTAGCATTCACGTTAATACAGTACTGCTTACTCTCCTCCCATGTCAAGTTGTGCTTGAAGAATCCATAGCAACTATCTCCATAATATCTCCAGTTTCTGTCACATGGGCTGCATTTATGGCCTTAATATGAAACCAAGCATAGGAGTCCATACTTTTTACTTTTGCTTTTCCCACATGTTGGTGTTTCCTGCAGATTTCCAGGTTCCCTACAGATAATATCACAGAAATACTCCAGGGGGAGGGGAGATGAAACGGTTACAAAACCATACTTACGGACATTGCTCTTTGGTTCCGATTGTTTTATTAAATATTGGCAGAATTGCTTTGCTAATTGGTTCAGTGTTCCTGAGACATTTTTATTCTCCACTTGTTGGTAGTTTTGCTCTGTAACAGCTAGATGAAAAAGTTAGATAATAATTTATAATCAGGATAATAATGGTGATGTGAAGACTTTTCAATGAACTTTAATTTCAGTAGAACTGTCAATCTGTGAAGTGTTTCCTAGATACACACAAGTAAATGAGTACTGCAAAGGGGTCTGGGTAGTGGGCGGTATAAAGAACAAATTAAGAACTGTGCAAAACTGACACCTGATGGTAATCCAAAAGAAGAGGTAAACTATGTGAAGGAGACAATCACAAATAAGAAAATGCCATGATCAAATTGCATGCCCAAAGCAGATGTTTTGATATTTCTTTGTTTTGATATTTCAGAAGTGAATGACCTCTGTTATTGTTTCTAAGATTTATTTATTTATTTATTTATTTATTTATTTATTTATTTATTTATTTATGAGAGACACAGAGAGAAGCAGAGATACAAGCAGAAGAAGAAACAGGCTCCCCTTGGGGACCCCCGATGTGGGACTCGATCTGGCAACTCCAGGATCATGACCTGAGCCAAAGGCAGATGCTCAACCACTGAGCCACCCAGGTGTTCCAATTTTTTTCGCATAATATGAAAATATCCATTTATTTTAAAAATACATATTGATTTCTTGTTGCACTCAAAATACTGTGATATTCAGAAGAATAAAAAAGATGGCAAACAAAAGATTCTACAATATCTTGTGAGAAAAGAAGCAAGCACACAAGCAACAGCTACATGGATGGTAATGTGACATTGGAGGGATTTATACAAAGAAAAAAAATAGATACAGTAGGTGGGATATGAACTGCTTCTGAGTGAAAGTAAATGCATTCATTAAACAAAGTGGGAAGGAGGGCATTGTAGAAAGAGGGAATAGAGTGGAGCGAAATTTAAGACAGGAAAGAGGATGTGTTTGTGAAATAGAAAAGTCCACATTGGCTGGAACTGAAGATACACAGGATAGGGAGAAAAAAATTTGAAAAGATTGTGTGGATCTAGGCTGAGGGGAATCTTGAAGACCAGTTTAAAATTCTTGAAAATAGGGATCCCTGGGTGGCGCAGCGGTTTGGCGCCTGCCTTTGGCCCAGGGCGCGATCCTGGAGACCCGGGATCGAATCCCAAATCAGGCTCCTGGTGCATGGAGCCTGCTTCTCCCTCTGCCTGTGTCTCTGCCTCTCTCTCTCTCTCTCTCTCTCTCTCTCTCTGTGACTATCATAAATAAATAAAAAAAATAAAATTCTTGAAAATAATTTAAATTGATACATCAAAAAAAGTGATTTGAATCAGAAGGGAAAAGTCAGAGTTCTCCTTTATTGGGAATGTCTTGGCAGCCATGTATAAGGTGGTTGAAGTAGCAACAAATAGATATGTAAGGACAATTAAGCTTAGTGGTATACACCAGGATCCTTAGGTATTTCTTTCCTCAGAACAAATCTTTTGCAGTGAGTCGATACTTACACATTATCCCCAGAGTCACCAGCCCAACAATTAACCCCACGCACAAGATCAGCAGAATCAAAGCCATCACACGCCACAGAGATGAGTTATCAGAGTCAACTGTAGGCATACAATAAAGATGTTAAGGGGCAGGCAGTATGACACAGCTATGGGGCAGCATCACCCTTACCCCTGCCCTCTCAAGACTTTCTGAGTGATATAAACTGCCTCATTGCCAGATCTTGCTGATGTTCCTTTGGTGATCATCAAGTATAACCCATTCCCATTCCACACATCCATCCTTTTCTAATGGACTAATCCCTGAGTCAAAATACAACTGTTAAGGCTTTGTATGTCTTTGCTTTGTTTTGTGCCAACGCTGACAAAATACTTGCTCTTATAAGCAAGATTGAAGAATCATATCCATTTGCTGACAGCTTAGAAAATGAGGTTATAAAACATTCTTTCCTCTTCTGCTGTTGGTTTCTATCCCTTCTAGGAGTAAACTGTATAAGCCTTAATGTAACGTACCCTGTTTTTATCTTTTGTGGCTTGTATTCTAAATAAGTCTGCCTAAGCCAATGCAGCTATTACTCAAATTCTGTAGTGCAGGATGGTCATCAGGAAAATAAAATAAAACTATACGTGCTATTGCTAGTAGAGAAAGAGAAGTAGAGTTGACTTATTTCAATAATTAACTTCCAAATTGCTGGCTCTGGATATTCTTACCTGAGGTGAGAGCTGATTTTCGGGTTTTAATATTTAAAGTGATGTATCCATCTTCGTCCAGCATGGCTTCCTTTGGACTGTAAGTGAGCTCAGGGTTCAATGACTTTGCAAAATTGTGGTGTCCACTTTTATAGATGTTAGTGTCTGTCAGTCTGCGATCCTCTCTCTCTGGTAAGGTGGGGCCGTGTGAGTTGGGGCACATGTTTTTTGTTTTGTTTCATTTTGTTTTTGTTTTTTTTTGGGGGGATTTTTGCTCTTCCAGGAAGCCCTTTCATAACTGTTGTGAGATACACGGACCTTGAACATAAAAACATAAAAATAATAACTTGCAGTAAAGGAGTAAATATGGTATTTGTTTCCTGTTTTCTTATCTTCAACTCTGAATAAAGGAATATCTCATTATTATGTCCTTTCGAAGAACAAAAGTTCATTCTTTATCTTAACCTTAGTGGAGTCTAAAGCATATTGTTTCAATGAACTGCTTTCTGATGAAAATTCATGGATAAAACATGGGCAGATACATAGTCTATTGCATTGTGAGGAGCAAGTCTAATATAATTTGATCTGATATGAGCTAGAGTAGGTGTTTCAGGGTTTTGTTAGAAGGTGCCATTCCTAATTATGACATAGAATTAGTTCAAATTTTTGCATCTTTCACAAATTATATTTTTCAAAAATTGGAGGACTCCACAGGAGACAGGTTTCATATTGCTTGGGCTTAGGCATGAGAGAAAAACAATCTAATAAAGTGAAATAATAGGGAGTTAGGGATTACTGCTTTTTAGTAATATTTTCACTTTAAAGTGAATTTCCAGCGATGCCTGGATGACTCAGTGGTTGAGAATCTACCTTCAGCTCAGGTCGTGATCCCGGGGTCCTGGGATCGAGTCCCACATTGTGCACCCCACAGGGAGCCTGCTTCTCCTTCTGCCTATGCTTCTCTCTGTGTCTCTCATGAATAAATACATAAATAAATAAAATCTTAAAAGAAAAATAAAGTGAATTTCCAGGAAGGGAAAAATCTTCATTAAGTGAAATTGTGTAATTTCAGGTATAGTGGTGCTTTGATGAAGAGCTATTTGTGGAAGGGATAGGTTCCTAGTGCCCTTCACATCAGAATGTAGTATGTATTCCACACATTTAACTATAAAAATGGGTTTTCAAATTGTTATTGTAGCTCACATTGAAAAGAGTTATAATAATAGCCAGAGAAGTCTAACTTCTGTACTAATGTAATAATATTAGTGAGGATGTTGTGTCTATTTTGTTATTAGGATAGCTTTTATATAGTTTTATAGCATATATATATATATATTTGTCAAATCTCATAAAAGTACTAAAAATCAAATAACCAAACTTAAACTCCACACCCATTTTTTTTTGTCACTGGGTTTTATATTTCAGGTAGACTAGTTGGTGATTCTCAAACATAGGAGGGGTAAATTCAGATCGTTTTTCTACCATTAATTTATTTATGCTTCCGTCCGTGTCATTTCTGATTCAATCAAGGTGGACTGTTCACTCCTCCTAGCAGTGCATGCTAGCTTCTATCTCCTAGCACAGCCTGGGAACTAGTCTAACCCTCCTTCTCCTCTCTGTCCACTTTTATTCACACTCCAAATTCTGAAGCTTTCCTTCCACCTTTATTCCTCTGTTCCATATTCTGTCACTGTCTTACACCAGTTTTTTTCCCCTAAAATATACAGAAATCCTGCAAAAAATGTGACTCAGTGACAGGAAAGAATGTGGAGGGTTTAGTTCAAGCGATACTTTTTCAATAAACCTTTACTCTGTTCTCTTAGTAACCAAATATGTAACTTCTGAAAATTTATAGTTGAATTAAATCAAATATGTAAATTCACGATCCATGGACATTTGGAAGCTTTTACAGCTATTGTAAACATTTTCATGTTTACATGAAACTTTACAGAAACTCTCAGGAAGTATGAAACATAACAGCTTGCTTTGTTGTCGTTTCCACATTCTCTAGGTCTTGGGTAATTGGTTGAGTTATAAAAAATAATCCCATTTATTCTGCAAATCACCAGAAATATACCAGGCTTACTTGATTCATGAATGCTTAAAACTATATGTTTAATACCAGATATAGGTAAAGCTGAAACCTAAGCCTTAGATGAGATTCTTCCTATAGTTCAGCCTCTGGACTTTCTTCTCTTTGTTTTTTCCCCTTTTAATGATTACAGTGCATCATTGGTTTTTGGATCTTTGATAACACTAGGCACAGGTTGAGGTTCTTATGTCCAGATCTATGTTCCATAAAAAATATATTTGCTCTTATTTGTATCTTCCAAACATGGCTTGGAGTTGTTAGGAAATATGCTGGGTGAATACTGAGTCTCTCAGGGTCAAAGCAGCCCCTCATAACATTAGTCTTCATTCTATTTTCTTCTTCTACACATTCTATAAATACAAGCTGAATTACTCAGCAAAAATTAAGCAGAGAACTGCAGGAAAAAGAGATAAAGATTACCAACTATTCTTTTTCCTTTTCTAAAACCCAGAAGCTTTGCTAGACATCATTTTTTAAAAAGAAAGCTTTACCCCCAGTGGGGGCTCAAACTCACAACCTCAAGATCAAGACTTGCATACTCTACCAACTAAGCCAGCCTGGTTTCCCTTTGTTAGTTATCCCCCTACGAAGTCTGTAAACACCCTACAAAGTCTGTCATTGGTATGTCATTTCTGTTTGTATATTTTGTTGCCCCTCTTTTCTTGGCTTAGTAAAGTATAACTAAAAAAGTCCTTTATTGAAAATATTCTGATGAGTTTGAATTTGGAATAAAAAATCTTTGTTTAATATTTTAGAGATTAATAGGCTTTTTTACATAAGTTATCTCTTTAATTTTAAAGCAAATATTCTATTAATTTAACTATTTCAGACACTGAAATTGGCATTGAATATTCATGGAGAAAGTCATGGTACTAGTCTTTATGGAGCAGTCTTAGATTTTAGCTATCTAATCTTTTTTTATTTAGTGTTTAATTTCCCTAACCCCACCATATGCCAGCCTACATTCCTGTCTCTTTCTTTTTCTTTCTTTCTTTCTTTCTTTCTTTCTTTCTTTCTTTCTTTCTTTCTTTCTTTCTTCCTTCTTTCTTTCTTTCTTCTTTCTTTCTTTCTTTCTTTCTTTCTTTCTTTCTTTCTTTCTTTCTTTATTTCTTTCTTCTTTCTTTCTTCTTTCCTTTTCTTCTTTCTTTCTTTTTCTTTCTTTCTTCTTTTTCTTTCTTTCATCTTTCTCTTTCTTCTTTCTTTTTCTTCTTTCTTTCTTTCTTGTTTCAGAGAGAGGGAGCCTTGAACAGAAGTAGGGCAAGGAGGAGGGAGGGGGTAGAAAGGGAGGGAGAAGGAGCAAGAATCCCAAGCAGACTCTGCCCTGAGTGCAAAGCCTAATGCAGGGCTCAATATCATGACCCTGAGATCATGACCTGAGCCAAATCAAGAGGCCAATGCTTAATCAACTGAGCGACCCAGGTGCCTCTCCTGTCTCTTTTACTTGTTTCACTCTTTTCCATTACCTCTCTCTCTCTCTCTCTGTCACACACACACACACACACACACACACACACACACACACACAGAGGTATTTTTGTCATGTATCCCCAAAGAATGTATTCTATGCTTTAAAATAGTGGCTGGCATACAGTTACCATCCAGTACATATTTGGCAAATGAATGAACATATGTACAAAGTGCATTGCCATCCTGATAATACACAGGTAGAAAGAGAATGTTAAGGAATGTGGGGACATTTCTATGATCATATTTCTTGTAAAAAGCAGTACCATATACCTAGTTTCCAAGTTCTTTCCACTACATTATAAAGTCTTTCAAATATAAGTATTGCCCAGACTCCATTATCTATGTTTATAGCTGAAGAATGAGTAAAAGATACTAGAATCACAATGACAATGTATAGACTCAATGAGAAATTAGTGGAATTCATAATATTGTGGTAAGATTGTTCAATATATAATGAGGACTAGTGGATGTACAAAAGAGAAAGACCAAAGAAAAATGATGTTGACTATTATGAATGCTATGATATGTCTCTAAACTGAAAAAAATATATAAAGGAAGGGAGAATTTTGCAGCTGGTGATAATCTTTTTCAATTTTTTGTTTGTTTCAGAGACAGAATTTGATGATTCATCAGTTGCATACAACACCCAGTGCTCATTATGTCACGTACTCTCCTTAGGGCCTATCATTCAGTTACCCCATCCCCCCACCCACCTCCCCTCCAGTAACCCTCTGTTTCCTAGAGTTAAGAGTTTCAGCCTTTTAAGGCACATGACCTTTATACTAACCCTTAGGTGCATTTATCAGTGATGTCCTATTGCCTCTCAGTCCTCTGCATTAAAATTGTTAGTTCACATTTGACTTACTAGCCTTCTACATACATACCAAGTACTGTTTATCTTTGAAAAAAGCTAGAATTTCCTGTCAGGAAAAAAAAGCAAAATTAATATTTTCTCTTTCATTTTCAGAAAGCTTAAACATATGGGCTGAAAAGTGGAATGTTTTACTAAAAGTTAATGAGCTAGGGGCCCCCTAGGTGGCTCAGTCAGTGAAGTGTCTGCCTTCAGCTAAGGTCGTGATCTCAAGGTCCTAGGATCAAGCCCCACATTGGGCTCTCTGCTCAGCAGGGAATCTGCTTCTCCTTTTCCATTTGTTATCTCTCTGGCTCTCACTCTCTCTCAAGTAAATAAATAAAACCTAAAAGAAAAAAAAAGTTAATGAGCTAAGCAATGAATAGCTATCAGATAACAACTGTGGCAGAGCATTTTGTTACAGAGTTGAAAAAAGGGAAAAATGTGCCAGATAGCATCTACCACACTGAGAAGTTTATATGCACATAATATTTGTAAAGTTAAATAGTAATCAAATGGAATATATAAGCCTTGAGTTAAGATTTGAAGGAAAGGCAAAGGTTACATAAAAAGAGAGAGGAAAGGAGTACTTTTTTATTTTATCAGGCAGGGCAAACATCCAAAGTTGTGGAAGTATGAGTGAGTATGGTGCAATCAAGGAAAGCAAAGTGATCAAGTATAGTGAACTGAGGATTCATGTCACAATATTGGGATATAAGATACCCCGCTAAAGTCAGTATAAAACATACACTGCAGGGATCATTAATTGATCTATTATTTGAACACACATTTATTGATCACTGTGCATGTGTCTCAAGCACTATTCTATTTTCTGATATAACATGGTAAACAAAACATATAAAAGTTGTGTTCTTATTGAACTTATATTCTAGTGGAGGGTGGTGAACATAAATAGCAAAGAAACAAAGAAATAAAACAGTAAGATAATTTCAGATCATGATAAGTGTTATGAAAAAATCATATATAATAGCTCTTTATTAGTGAAACTTGGGGGAGGCCCTGGTGGTGTTCATTTCACTGGACACATAAATGTTGATCAGATATTTAAGGTAATCAACCTGCCTGTATAGCCCTTTATTTTAACCAGGATATTTGATTATCCTGATTGGATGAATATATATTTCAACATAAATTAAAAAAAAAAAAATCCCCCAAATAAATTCTATCTTGTATTTATCCTCTAGCTCCTCCTTGTGGTCATTTTTTGTTGCTCTGCTTTTATCTTTAGGGCTTTGATCCCTCTGGATTTAATCTTTATTTTCTCCATTCTTTGTTGTAAATAGTTTTGAATTAACTTCCATTCTGCCAAATCTCTATCCAATAGAGACTCCTCTTTAAAGGTTTTCTCTGAAATAGTCCTATAATACATGAGAATGGAATGATCATGGAAGAATGGAGTTAGAGTATAATTTCTTATTGTATAAACTCAGTATTACTTTTAATGTAACCCAAATCAACAATACTTCCATATATAATACCTGAATTCCTTTGCTTTCCACAATAAACAGTATTTTCAGGTGGATTTAATTCATATGAGAGCAGCATGAAAGTCAAAGCTGATTCTGAGTTCTGGGCTTAGGAACTGTGTGAAGTTTTTATTTACTAAAATGAAGAAACAGTGAAACCACTAGGAAAGAGTTGTATTTTATATTTTATTTTATTTTATATTTTATTTTATTTTTTGGATGTGTTAGATTTAAAAATCCTAAAAAATCCTATAGCATATGTAAATAATATGCCAAGTCTTCAGTCAGATATTTGGGCCTAGTGACCAAACCCTGGCATGAAGATATACATTTGGAGATCTCCTAGGTATGGCTGTCACTCCAAGCCATGGATCTGGAACATCTCATCCATAGATGAGCAGAAATGGGATAGAGGGCCAGGAACTGAACTCTGGACCACAACAGTATTTTGAAGTCAGATAAAGAGGAAACAGCAAATCTGAGGGAGGATTAGGTAATGAAACGGAAAGAAGAAGATAATGGTGTTTTGTAGAACAGTGTATTTTGGAAGACACCTGAGTGGCTCAGCAGTTGAGTGTCTGCCTTCGGCTCAGGGCGTGATCCTGGGGCTGGGGTCTCTGGATTGAGTCCCACATCAGGTTCCCCACAGGTAGCCTGCTTCTCCCTCTGCCTATATCTCTGCTTCTCTCCATGTGTGTCTCATGAATACATAAATAAAATATTAAAAAAAGAATAGTATATTTTGGAAAAGAATTTTAAGTTAAAGGAAATAATTATATCAGATCCTGTTTATAGGCTGAGTAAAATGAATCTGGAGAAAGAGCCATTGGATGTGTCAATGTGGAGGTTAATGTGATTTAGGAGAAATGTCCTAGAATTTGGTAGATGACTGCAACAAAGTGTGATATTTGCTAGTGTAATCTGATAGAATGAGCTAAGATATGATGGAAGTTTTATAGGGAGACAAGGATAAATGGAGATTTCTAAATTAATAAAATTATAAGCTAATAATAATAAAGTCTTTTAGAATCATAATAACAGTAAGTATGTAGAAAGTATGACCAATCCTTTCTCTTATAGAAATTATTAGCAACGAGGTGAGATTCCTCATCACTGTTTTACCCAAATATGATTTTGTTTTTTTTTAATTTTTTTTAATTTTTATTTATTTATGATAGAGAGAGACAGAGAGAGGCAGAGACACAGGCAGAGGGAGAAGCAGGCTCCATGCACCGGGAGCCTGATGTGGGATTCGATCCCGGGTCTCCAGGATCGCGCCCTGGGCCAAAGGCAGGCGCTAAACTGCTGCGCCACCCAGGGATCCCCCAAATATGATTTTGTATAAGATTGTAAAAGGTTAAATGTTTTCTTAGGGAACTTGAAAGTAAGAATCAGGGCAATGAAAATGAAAACTCAGTCTTTGCAAATTTGGTGAAAGTGAAAGAGAAGATAGAAAAACATCCTGTATTCTCATTTTCATAATCACATATTCAATTTAATTTTCCTCATGTTGATGGTCTCTGTGTTTACTCAGGTTATGTAGAATAGTAAATATAAACATAGATTTAATTAATTCCACATCTTTGGCAGTGGAGTTTAACTGATTATGACTCAGAGCCTCCAAACATTTTTTTGATGCATCAGTTTGGGAGAAAAAAGAATAGGAAAGAGAAAAATACATGCATAATTATGTATATAGAGATTATACATAAATGTTAGTGAAGAATTATTATTTTTACATTTTCTTTCTACAACCTATTGGATATTCGTTCACACTCCTGAAATAGGTGCAATTTATTCTGCTTTAACCAAGATAATCTTTTTTAAAAGATCATTTATTTATTTATTTACTTGGCAGAGAGAAAGAGCACAATTCATTCCATCTTGAGCAAGATAATCTTTTTTTTTTTTTTTTTTTTTTTTTTAAGATTGTTTATTATTCTGAGCAGGGAGCCAGATGAAGGCTGGATCCCAGGGTCCAAAGGCAGATGCCACTCAGGCACCCTTGACTAAGATAATCTTCATACAGAGGTGGATCTTGGGAGGCTTTGGATCAGTCCTCCAGCCATCTGAAAACAAAAACCTGCACCAAATCATCCCCAGAATAGGCATGTAATCTTCTTCTTCCCCCAAAGGAAACTTTAGGAAAGATTCATTCATTCTCTTGTTCAGGTATGGCCCTCAAATATTTTCTGAGTTCTGTTAGTTTGCTATTGCTCCATTAGCCAAATCCACAAATACAGCAGCTTAAACGACGCAAATCTATGGTTTCACAGGGCTGTGGGTTAGAGGTCTGACACGATGGGGAGGAGGGGGGGCTCAATTAAGGCTGTGGGCGGGGCTTGTGTTCCTTTCTGAGCGCTCTATAGGAGCCCGCATTCCCCTACCTTCTGGCCCACATTTCTTGGTTCTAGGCCATCTTCCTCCACCTTCAGCCAGCAAAGCTGTATCTCTCTGACCGAATCTAGGAAAGGTTTCCATTTTTAAGGATTCAATTGGGCCCATCAGATAACGCAGGATAATTTCTTCATCTCAAGGTCTGCAGTCTTTTTCACGTCTGCAAACCCCCTTGCCATGTAAACTTACCATATTGAGAGGTTCTAGGGATTAGAACACGCACAATTTTGGTGAGGGAGCTGTTATTCTGCCTTCTGCAGGTTCTCAACAACGATGAATTTTCTTATAGAAATTAGTAAATTTTGCAAGAAGTGATGCTGGGATTAGAAGTAAATGCAGTCCTTTAAGAGTCTTCACAAGAAACAATGCTGAAAGAACAGATTGAGATCTATGATATTCTGATTTTTAAAGAGAATATTTGACTTCTCTAACTTTCTCTGCAAAAAGGCTGATTGTCATTCTGTCCTAACAAAGGGGCAGTAGGGAGTGTCTTGGGTCAGTAGAGTATGTTTATAAAAGCTCCCAGCCTTGAGAAGAGCACTCTGTTCCTGGGCCTGAAGATTTTTGAAACATTAATTACATAATTTATGGTAGTGCTTTCTTCTATGATGTCTGAAGAAGTGACTTATGCGACACTCACGTTTCAGGATTCTGTTGGAGAAAGAAATAACCGCGATAGAAATTACCTAAGGAATAGAGGTAGGAGTTCAGAGACAACAAGATGTGACCTTGGGGGAATGAACAGGTGGTAAAGTTTTGGTTCCAGTGCTAGAAAGTGATATGCTGTGGAATCTCCAAAATAGAGCAGAGTTGTGGAATATGTAGTAGAATGAATGTTCCCAATTTTGGTGAGAAAACATGCGACTTCGAAGACCACTTGAAATTGTGTGATGTTGCTATATTTCCTGAAGTTCTGTGTTATTGTGAAACGTTGGATGTAGGAGAAATTGAATTGGAGCTAATAGAATTCTTTTTACAAATTAAGTCGTTGGTATTTATAATTTCTGAGATGTCAAGTGAATATTCTTTTAGTAGCCAGGTTGGAGGTTTCTAAAATAGAGAATGTAGAGGGAATTTTTCTTTTAGAGGTACAAATAGCTGAAGAGAGAAATGGGAGGATGAGAGACTCAGAATTAGACAAGAGACAGTTTCTGTATAAAAAAAAGAAACTTTTAGTGAGTGGAAATTCCTAGTATAATTAGTAGTGTTGAATCAATAATAACAATATCCATGTAGTACTTTATATGCATTATATATATTTTTATCAAAATATAATTGTGAAGTAGATGGAATAATATTAGCAAAACTGAGTCTGAAAAAAAATCAAATGATGTAATCAAATTCCTACAACTGGTAAAAGTCCAAACTCAGTGCTAGTCTTTTACCTTGTTCCTTTATACCCTATTGGAAGAAATATTGATCTCTATGGTCAGGAATCAAATTTGATATATCAGACTATATCCCTTATTTTCAAGAATCTGTTGACAGTTCAGGCTGTTTCCCCAAGTCAACTAAAATATTAGAACTACTTTCTCCTTCTCTTGGATTTATTTTTTACAAGTGTGGTTTGTGGGCTTAATTTACTCACTCAAGATTGTATATACAAAGGGAATGAGAATAGGCTTGTCATGGGTCTAATAACAGTGGTTATACATTATTCTTTGTTCATTTAAATTATAGCTGTAATCCTTGAGAGAAAAAAGTTGTGGGTGTGATGTATGTGATAGCAGCACACCTGGAGATTTGCAATCAATCTGTCTGAAATACTGGGCTAGATGCCATTAGACCCTGAATTAAGAAATATTGTAGATTAGACTGCACATTCATTTCGTCTTTCATTCTCTACTCATTTATTATCTGCTAGATGATAAATAGACTGGATAATAGATAAAAGTAGAATACACAGTAATACTTGCCTTGTGGAGGTTTGTAATCTCAAAAGCATGAGATTTCTTCTATTGTCAGGATCATCCAGAGAAGCAATTTCCACAACATCTCATACATGCATTTAGTGAATTTAAAGAAGAAGGGTGTGTGATGATGTAAAACAAAAACCTAAAAATTAGGAGCCACTCTTAAAGCAAAGGAGAATGTGGGAGGAGAAATGGAGGAGAACTGATGATGGGGCCCTTATTGCATATCATCTTAGGTATTTTCTAGATGGAACATTGAAGAAGTAAGAGAAAAATCAACAACTCATCTGTAACCACAGTTTCTCTGTTGGCTTTCTTCAGAGTATCCAGCTCCTTCCCCTATATGGCGTCAGGCTGCCCTGAGTCTGCTTACTCTTTGTCTGCTGCTGCTGATTGGGCTAGTGACCTTAGGGATTATGTGTAAGTACATTTTCATCAAACCCAAGAAAAGTGATTAGAGAACACATTTGTAAACTGTGTAAATTTGAGTTTGATTATACTATGTGATCATGTTCTCCTTCATTCTCCCAAGGCTTTAAGATAAACAAGCAGAGGACTGATTTTATTATTATGAGGATTTTGCCCTAAATCTATTGTTTTTCTTTATAAACTAGACTGGGTCATGAAGACAACTTTAATTTTTTTTTATTGGTTGGAATAAGGAGCTTCTATTCTGCATAGACACTCATCCACTTATTACCCCAATGGTAAGAAACAGGGAACCAAGAGAGGTGGACTCAAGGAAGAGCATGCTGTTTCATTCACCCTGAAGACTTAGCACAAGACTGGCTTAATTTACTCACTCAAGATTGTCCTAGTATAGAAATAGCTTGCTTGCTATAAATGAATAAGAGATACAAGCAAGGAGGAATAGTGCTTGAGATACCTTACCCTCTATACAGAAAGTTGAACCACTTCCATGTAACAATGGAAACTCCACTCCCAAGCACAGTAGCCAAAAAAGGGTATTCCCTTGGTTTAGACCCATCATTGAGACATCAGGGTTGGACAGGATAGGGAGCCCTGAACTAACAATAAATGGAAGAACGTCCTGAGAATCCATACTCTGTAGGATATTGTTAAGTATATGATGGTCAGAGTAGTGAGTTGGTGCAGTATTCCCTTTGAGGGGATGTGCAGTTAAGAAAGTTTATTTTCTGAATGATACTGGCATTTTCCATGCTACTTTCATTTATTTTACATAAGTAGGATTTCATGAATAATTAGAATTTAGACATACCAATTTGGATGTATAAATAGGGGCTAATGATGTAGAGTCTGCTTCTCCCTTTGCCCCTTCCCCCTGCTCATGCTTTCTCTTTTTTAAAAAAGATTTAATTTATTTATTTGACAGAGAAAGAGAGCATGAGTGGGGGAGGGTCAGGGAAGGGGGAGAAGCAGGCTCTTTCCTGAGTAGAGAGCCCAATGCAGGGCTCGATCCCAGGACCCTGGGATCATGACATAAGCCAGAGGCAGACACTTAACCGACTGAGTCACCCTGGTGTCCAAAATCTTAAAAAAAAAAAAAAATGAAGATACAATGATACATAGTCATTGGTTCACCATGGAAGGGTGAAGACTTTTATGAAGTGCAGTGCTTTTAGTGCAATGACTCTTACATTTACTGTGATGATGAATTACCCAAAGTGCTAATTAAAAAGGCAGATTTTGGGGTGCCTGGGTGGCTCAGTTGGTTGTGTCCAACTGTAGATTTTAGCTCAGGTCATGATCTCAGGGTTATTATACTGAGCCCCACGTCAGGCTCCATGCTTAGTGTGGAGTCTGCCTGATATTCTCTCTCTCTCTCTTTCTCCCTCTGCCCCTACCTCTGCTTACTCTCTCTTTCCAATAAATAAATATAATTTTTAAAAAGACAGATTTTATGGCTCCAGAGCCAGAAACATTCTAGTATGGCATCAAAATCTATATTTAAAACAAAACCAAATATGTGTGTGATTCAGATAAAAGTAGTCTGCACACCATATTTTGAAATACCCATTGCCTTAAAGGATTCTGTTTCTATTAAAATAACAATTACATGAACCAAATCCAAATAGATAAAAGTAAAATATTTCCACTAAAAGAATGGCAAAATGCCTGGCACTGCCTTAGGTTAAATGTCAAAGATATATGATTATTAATTCATTATTTTAATACAAGTATAATCATATTTAAAATATTAAAAATTATAAGGATGAGCTCCAGTTTGCAGTCAAAAGGCATCTGGTGTGTTTCTCCCAATACTTCAATTATTGAGAGCTACTCATGAATATTAAACAATGTGAGAAATATTTCTGTGTAAAGAGAATTAGCTGTGGCTATAATGAGAATGGGAGGGTATACGAACTTGTCTCCTGTTATGTTTTGGAGTTTTGCAGACATCTAATGAAATTAACTCAGATTCAGAGAAATTAAGTCAACTTCAAAAAATCATCCACCACCAGCAGAATAACTTATCCCAGCAGCTGAGCAACTATAGGAGCTTTCCCACAGAGGAGAAATTTCTCAAATCACAGATTTCCAGTCTATTGAGGAGACAGGAACAAATGGCCATCAAACTCTGCCAAGAGCTGATCATTCACACTCCAGGTATTTAGTACCTACTTGCCAGTCAAATCTGCTGCCCCAGTTTGCATTGATCATGTGAGTCACCTCGTAGCATGGGAAATTGTGTTCTCCAATGACCTCTAATGATATCACACGAAATTTACAGAAGACAAGAGAATATATCAATTAATTTCATATTTTTAAAAACACAGAGGTGAATTTGGGAAGTGTCTTGGAATGTTACCAACCTGGATACTTTGGCTTCTTATTTTGTGGGCTATTTTTAGGTGACCTTAAGTTTTAAGAAGCTAAAAGTAGAGCTGGTAATTCTGATCCCAGGAGACTGAGCCCTGGAGTGAGAATTTCAATCACTGTTGTCCCAACCCAGAATTGGAAGTGATTTCATTCTCCTAAAGCAGTATGGTTCCAGAATGCTGGGTCTCAGATACCTCCTCAGGTTCAGTTATTTAGTTTTTAAAACCCTCCCAGTCACTCCAGTGTTATTTAACTTGTACTAATGGGTGTCATTTCTTTTTCAGACCACAAATGTAATCCTTGTCCTAAAATGTGGCAATGGTACCAACACAGCTGCTATTATTTCACAACAAATGAGGAGAATACCTGGACTAACAGTAGAAAACACTGCATGGACAAGAACTCTACCTTGGTGAAGATAGATAGTTTGGAGGAAAAGGTCTGGTTGAATCTCCTTCACTGGTTATAGATATTTTTTTTAAGATTTTCTTATTTATTAGAGAAAGAGAGAGAGGATGAGCAGAAGGGGCAGAGGGAGAGAAAGAACCCCAAGCAGACTCCTCACTGAGCATGGAGTAGAAGGTGGGACTCGATCTCCGGACCCTGAGAACCAAGAGTCAGATGCTTAACTGACTGTGGCACCCGGGCGCCCCATTTCCTGGTTATAAAAATTATTCCTAGCATAGAAAGTAAAATAGGTGGAATTTCAGACTCACATAGAAGGCATTCAGTGCGTTTTGAGTGAGAATTAACATCTTACAACTGCATACCTGAATGTGGCTCTCACATAACATTGTTCCTGTTGTCTCTCTCAGGATTTTCTGAAGTCACAGCCATTACCCACACTCTCTTTCTTCTGGTTGGGCTTATCATGGGATCCATCTGGAAGGAACTGGCTATGGGAGGATGGCTCTGTCCCCTCTCCATTCTTGTAAGTCTGTAACTGTTAGGGGGAGAAACAAAAGAAGCTAATAATACTAAAAATTGGAATACTAAGAAAATCAATGTTAATTGTAAGAAATATAAATCTAGATACAAAAAAAAGAGCACAACATACAAAGGAAAGAGTGCTTCAGTAAGAAATAACGAAAGCAAGAGTACCTAATTTCGTGTATGTGACAATCTCATGGCAAGACACTGAAGCTTATCAATTAGATTAAATTTACTTTTTTATTTAACAAAAAAATACCCTTACTTTGCTCAAAGTAGTATATAAATATTAGCCCTATGGTAAAAACACTGTTATATTCCTATTTTATGGATGAAACAGTTTTGATAGAGATATTAAATAACATGCCCAAGGTCACTAAACTCCAGTGGCCAAATCAGAACTTGAATGCTTTTATGACCATAAGTTTGGGCTCTTAGCTATCCTGGCTCTCCAATACTATGGTCACAAGGGTGATGTTTATCCTAAGAACATACATTAACACATTTATTTAAATTCAATAATTGTCAGCCATTTTCCAGTAGCAAGTAAGTCTGAATTGATGGATTAATTCAACAATTAGTTTTGCTACAGGGACTTACCATATATGTAGTGTATATGGCAATTATCCTTCATGACTTAAATGAACTAAATCTGCCACTTCAAAGTTTTGAAGAAATATTTAAAGTACATACAGAATATACGAAACTTTGAAGATTACAGTTTTTGTGACTAAAGTTATAAAAAAATAGATACCATCTTAAAAATACGGAAAGGAACACATAGTTTATAATATTCTCTAAGCAACTACAAACTAAATATCTTGAGGAACACAGTTCATCACAACTATATTAAAATGATTCAATTATATTTGTATTTTTAATATAATAATATAATATAATATAATATAATATAATATAATATATAGTATTTGCCTATCACATGAAATACAAGAGCATTGTCATCTTTCTGGGTGTGTTAAGTTTTTCTCCATCTCCCTTCCCATCAAGTTATTCCCCCATACACATCCCTCCTGATTTACTCAGTGCATGCTGTCAAAATTTCCTTAAATTGAGTTATAACCATTCATTTACTTCAAGGATTCTAGGCTACAGCTGTGACTCTCCAAATTTCCTGAATAACAATGATATGTCTAGACTTTTCTCCCTAGACATATTTTATCTTCACCCATTTCCCACAATTTTGTCATGGCTTTTTCTACTCACACCAATTTCTCACTCTCTAACTACCACCACTACTAGTCATATTAAATTGGTGAGTCTGGTTTCACACAAAAAATCATGGTGACAAGCATGTCCAAAGTCATAAACACACAATCAAAAATGACAGTTACTTCTTTGTAAATGGAGCAACACTGGGCATGAGATGATTAAAAACTAATCTGAGATGTTCTGCTGGACTGCAGATTTACAGAACAATTGTGCAATTGTTTCCACTTTGGGCTTTAAGAAGATGGATGCCCTCTCCCAAAGGAGTTTTCATCATCCCTCCACTCACTCCTAGTGAAAATATGGAGGAGGTGGCCCCCTGCAGCAAGGTTAGGAATCTGTGGATACTGACACCCTGAGGCTATGGGTGTCACGCTCAGGGTGGTGGGACTAAGCTTTAGAATCATGTCCCCCTCACAACCCCCCCCCCAAAAAAAAAGAATCATGTTCCCTACTGATTAAGGCTGCTTCTGGCAAGTGCATACTCCAAGAGGAAGATTTAATAGGCCCAGCCATGAAGTAAGAAAAGAATATTGCAGATCAGTTGAATAAAAAGGCACATAGGGTATTTACACCTGATAAGTGTAATTTTATAATGATTTTTTTAAAGATTTCTTTATTTATTTGAGAGAGAGAGAGAGAATCTCAAGCAGACTCCCTGCTGAGCATGGAGCCAAGGGAGTCAGACATAGGTTTGATCCCATCACCCTGAGATCATGACCTGAGCCGAAATCAAGAGTCAGATGCTTAACTGGCTAAGCCACCCAGCAGTCTATAATGACATTGACTTAAAATGAAGCATTCAGATTTGCCAGTTTTAAGAACTTTGATATGTTATGGTTATAGAAGTCTCTCAAAGTTCAGATAGATAGTCTTTGGAAACTGAGAACACTGAATTGTGATTAAATTTCAAATATGAAATTTGTAATTAATTTTAAGTGGATTAATTTTCAGATTCAGCACTAAAGAGTATGCCCAGATCAATGGATCCAAAGGTTGTGCCTATTTTCAAAAAGGAAATATTTATATTTCTCGCTGCAGTGCTGAGATATCTTGGATTTGTGAAAAGATGGCTGCGTTAGTGAAAATTGAAGATTTGGATTAATATACTTCTTCCAAATTCACCAAGATGTAAGGGACTTGTGGTTAAATTCATGTGAAGAAAGAGAAAGCTACTCTATTAGAGCCAAAAACAAATGAAAAACAATGACTGTGTATTTAAACTACCAGGCAAATAAACTTCACAGAACATTTTCCACTTCATTGTCTGATGCCTTCTGGTATGGTGTTCTGGTTATTGCTGGAGACCCTGGGGAAAAACTCTTCTATGGCTCTATTATTCTATCTCAGCATCATTTCACAGAATTCCCTTTCTCGAATAAAGGATTCTTTTCCTGTTTTGTTATTACATATGCAAAAGTGCGCAGGGGTGACATGGATATATTTAGCAGCCAGTACTGACACAAGCCACAGCACTGGAAGGGCATTCAGGAGCCCCTGCTGTGATAGTGGTCTGAGGGATTCCTGGGTAGGGGTCCTGATGACTAGAGCAGCAGCACTATGCCAAACATTTCAGAAATATCTTAACTTCTTAGCAAATGGTACCAAGTGCGTACCAAGTGTACCAAGTGTACCAGTACCAAGTGTATGTGTGTGTACCAAGTATACCAGCTTTGTAATATAGGTGAAGTATTACACCATTTAGTATTTATATCCTCATTTATTTAGATCAAGTCATGTTGAAGTTATTATTTTGGTAATCTGGATATTATTAACAGAAGTTTATAATCTTTCCATTGAAACGTTATTGCCTTGGGATTCCTGGGTGGCGCAGCGGTTTGGCGCCTGCCTTTGGCCCAGGGCGTGATCCTGGAGACCCGGGATCGAGTCCCACGTTGGGCTCCCGGTGCATGGAGCCCGGTTCTCCCTCTGCCTGTGTCTCTGCCTCTCTCTCTCTCTCTCTGTGTGACTATCATAATAAATAAATAAATAAATAAATAAATAAATAAATAAATAAATAAATGAAATGTTATTGCCTTAAAAAAAGTCCTAAAAACTGCTTGAAGATAGTAGGACCATTATATTTTATTTTAAAGAACTTTTTTTTTTAACATAGTTGGTCAGCATCCCTGAACTTAAGACGTCAAGCCTTGTAAATCTAGAGCTTGTGAGTTTTTCTGGGACAAAATTGCTGATTTAAGAATATCAATGAATGGGGATCCCTGTGTGGCGCAGCGGTTTGGCGCCTGCCTTTGGCCCAGGGCGCGATCCTGGAGACCCGGGATCGAATCCCACGTCGGGCTCCCAGTGCATGGAGCCTGCTTCTCCCTCTGCCTGTGTCTCTGGCTCTTTCTCTCTCTCTGTGACTATCATAAATAAATAAAATTAAAAAAAAAGAATATCAATGAAGGAGGTAGTTTTCTTTTGCTTCTCATATAATTTCATAGCTATGTATAGGCCAAAGGAAACAGTAAACCAACCTGCAGTACTGATTTGTTTAAATCAGAGATCTAGAATTTGGAAAAACTGGTATGATCTGAGTTCTAAGTGAGGTGCATTTCAGAATACTTTGACGCTTCTTTAAAAGAACATCGTCATATGGACATCTAGTAGCGTGTTACTCTTAAACTTTTACAATTGTGAGCTCATGGACATTTTACATATGCACTAAAAGAAACTCTAGAACAAAAGAATTAAAGTTTAATGTGAAAATTATAAGCAAAATATATTTAAGTACAAATATTAAAACCTAGATAAATATTTCATCATAGTTCAAGTGAACAGGCTTTACTAATTATCATATAGGACCAAAATACAACTTACATATACACAGATATTTTTAAAAAGCAACTTTACTCTTTCATTTCTTTAGTAGCTTACTGTCATTGTCATTCTCACAAAGATAAAATTATTCATTAAAGGTCAACAACTGTACTTGACTCCCACACATTTGGGTTTTTCTTTATTCCCATGGGAAAGATAATTTCTTCTTTATTCTTCTATTTCTAACCATAAAAAGATCTGCTATTAATAGTTAAAATATCTTTGTTGGTTATTTTGTTCCTATAAAGGGGTTACATGTTTGTTTTTTTCCCCCCTGGTATCTTTTATCTCTTCATTCTTCTCTCATGCACACTCTGGCTTTCACACTGACTAAAAGAGAACATTTCTGTCTCTGACTTCAGAGGGGCTCTGGAGTTCAATTAGATCCTACTGCTCATAGACATCTCCCTGCTTTTCTGCCACCATGATGTCATCTCTGACAGCCTTTACAATGGATGAGTAAACCTAAAGCTCTTCTTGAGGATTCACTAACCTCTTCGTCAGAGTAATTTAGCCCTCATTGCTTTCTGGTGCCTTGGTTTATGAGACATGGCATATGACCAAAATTTCTCTCTCTCTCTCTCCCCCCCCTCTTATGCAAAATACCTAGGAGATATCACATACACACACACACACACACACACACACACACTCATGTACTGTCATAATTCCTGGGGAAAGGCCATGTTTTGTACTTATTTTGGGTAACTGTCCTTCCTTCATTGAAGAGTTACATGATTTCCAAACTTGTCTTCATGTAAGATTTATACAGATAGTCCCCCATAAAAGGACAGATTCCTGGGCCACTTCTTACAGCTATAGACTCAATGACTGGAGGGCAGGACTGCAGAAACCATAAGTTTCACAAAGTCCACTGCTGATGCTTAACTCAGCCTGGGTATTTGACAATGTTTGGATAAATGACTTCAATACTGCCTTCTTTGAGTAAGTATGTTCAGAGGCAAAGGTAGTGGAACCATCCTCGAGCATTGAAGGCTCTTTCATTTCTGTCTTAAAAACATTTATATATTTTTTATTTTATTTTTTCCAGCTTCCTTGAGTTATAACTGACATGTAACACTGTATAAGTTTAAGATGTACAACCCAATGATTTGATGTATGTATGTAGAGTGAACTGATGTCCGCTATCAGTTTAGTTAACACATCCATCGCCTCAGTGGATGGCTGTTTCTGCAATGTTAGCAAAATTAGTTTGTTTCGTGTAGGCCAAATTCGGACAAAGGTAATTACAAACCTCAGCTATTTCATTTTTGTAACCTTGTCCAACCACTCCTTAATGTGGAGATTGGTTGGGGTGGTCAGGGTAGACAGGTGTCACACAATGTGATCTCTCTGGCCTTGTGGAAATAGTTCTCAAATCAGCTGGACACTGAAATTATACAGAGGAGCTTTGAAGAAATGCTGAGGCCTGAGATTATCCCACCTCTTAAGACTCTGAGTTAATAGATCAAAGGTGTGGTTAGGTTATTGAAAAAAAAATTTAAGCTACTCTTACAATTCTAATTTTCAGCTAAGGTTGAAAACAACCGCACTGAAATCATTCTAGTGACTATTAACGTTGGTGTGGGGCTACTGTGTTGGTAAAACAGCCAACCTTCCATCATATATTAAAAGAGCAAGTGAGTTAGTTCCACTGCTGAGGATTCCGTGGTGTTGGGACAGTGGGCATTATGACTGTTACCCAAAGCTAAGGTCAAGGTTGTAATCGAGGCTGCATACTGACCAGTTTATGTAATCATGCTTGTATACATTTGCTTATGTATAGATAAAGAGGTGAAGGACTTATTATTAATGCTATTTTCGTCTGGGCAGGTATGATGGTAGTAAAATTGGACAGGAAGAGGACATAATTAACTTTAATAATAAATTTAAAAATTCAGTTATCCTAAGGAAAAGGCCATCTGTAAATTCAGGGGACACATTCTAAGAGTGGGCAAGAGGATTGAGTTTAATGTTTAATGTCCCAGTAGTTTTGGGCACAGGGCTGGAGGGTAGAACAGTCCACAGCACAGGTGGACATAAGCTCACAGCTTCTCTGCCCCAGTTCCAGGGAACTGGAAACTGTCCCTTAATGAAGCAGTGAACTGACAAGGTAAATCTCCATCTTAAGGGCCAAGTCGTTTCTTGAAGGCCAAACACCTATTTTTTAAAAACTGTGCCTGGAGAGAATGTCTTCTGTTTCTAGCTTGGGGAGATAGATGTCTCGGTGGCTTTCCATCCAGAACCTCTATGATTATGCATTGCAGGTGCTGGTACTTGGTTTTTAGGGGAAGAAATACAAATCCTGAAAGACCGGAGGAGGCTTGTAGGCTGCACCAGCAGGAGGCAGTAGACTAGGAAATTGAAATAAGGAATTTGAAATTTTGTTGTTCTATATTTTGGTTGTTTGCTCTACTTTTAATGAATTACCTAATAATGAGAGAAAGGAAGAGATTGTGAGATTTTTATCTCCAGCGTAAGCCAAGGTTATAGCAAAAATAGCCATCTCTGGACTATTAAACTAACAGCCAAGGGAGAAACCTGTAGACACTATTCACCTGCTTTTAATCTCAGTCCTCCAAGTTTTACAGTACTGAGCAAAGGAAAATTATATTGGTAGATAGAAAGAACATCTAAACAATTGCATTAATTTGGTAATGATGACAAGTCATAAGTTTCTGGTCTATTCCCAAGATTCTCAAGTCTTTTATATTTGTTTTTATTAGAGGAGTAATATTGCAAGTTTGATTTTTCCTTAAATGATTGGCTTTATCATTCAGCCAAATAGTTTTTAGTGGAATAATCAAAATAACCTATCTTCATTAAATCAGATAATTCTCCATATATACAAAAAATGTAGATACTTTTTAAAAAAACATTTTATTTATTTATTCATGAGAGTCATGGGGGGTGGGCAGAGACATAAGCTCTATGCAGGGAGCTCAATGTGGGACTTAATCCCAGGACTCTAGGATCATGCCCTGGGCCAAAGGCAGACACTTAACTGCTGAGCCACCCAGGTGTCCCCCCCTCCCAAATTTAGGTAGTTTCAAAGGAGACCAATAGCTCCTTTGAAAAGATAGGGACATGATTTTGACTCAATTCTTGCATGATATTTTGTAATTTTAATTCAGAAAATAGAATTTAAATACTTGAATTCATGAACTCATTTTATAAACTTGGTTGGTAATTTGTAAATGTCACAATGTTTTATTTTGTTCATTTCTAGGTAATAACTGTGGGTATGGAAAGGGTTACGGTGAGATAGGAGGCTCCTGACTC